CGCCTGTTTTATCCAGAAGCTTCTGCCTTTCCTTTTCCCAGCTGATCTCTTTGTTGGCCATTTGCTCCTTCAGAGCAGCATTTTCTGAGGCCAGCTGCCTGTGTACTGATTTTGAGTCTTTAAGGGCTCGTCGCAGAGCGTGCAGGGCTCTGCCTGGAGAATGCTGTGAGCACTGAAAGACACAAATATACATGCAATACGTAAAAATATTGTCCCGTGTTAACTTTGAATACACAGAAAAAGAGGGGATCTTTCACACATCTGAAGCTATCTGTAGTAAAAGAGCCCTACATCACTGGCAGCAAAATGAAATGTCCCTCATTCACAGCTTCAGCAAAAACAGTCAAATTCTCAATTTACTATTGAGTAATAGTATTTCAGTAAAATGTTGTTTGTGTTTCACTTAAATATAGTCAAAATAGAAATATCCTCAAGCCAACTGCACAATATCCAGAAATGTCTTGTAAACTACAGCGACACAAAGTCTGTCACCTTGTGTCCCCGACTCACAGTAAACACATTACAGCAATGATGTTGTAAAACTCTAAACACTGAAAACATTATGACATTGTACAGTTCACATGTCTCAATACAACACATTCATGTAAATTAGAAACTAAATATAAAGAAACTCAGTCAGCTCACTGGCCAGACCTCTGAATCGCTGCCCTCTCTTCAAAAATATTTATAAATACTATATTTTGAAGCTTTGGACAAAAGATGTAGTGTCTCCTGGTTCAGAAAATCTTACCTCGTCTCTTGAGTTTGTCTCCATGTTGGCTGAACACAGGGATCGGTGTTGGAGATATACTACTGTAGTGTTGCTTGTGGTTGTAGTGTACCTTGGGTGGTTGTGTACCGCAGGTTTTGACGTCTTTGGTTCTAGTCGAGATCTAATTTCTGTAGTTTTGGTCTGTTGACACTGGGAGATGTTTCTCTGTTGGAGGTCAGGTTGCATCTAACTGGAGTTTGTCAGGAGGCTTTAATCCAACAACATTCTGTTGGACATTCTGCATGATGTCATAACGGGCTCCATATGTGTCATCAAAGGTTTCAGAATGGGACGACGGTCATCAAAGGTTTCAGAATGAGATGACATCACATGAATTCAGTGTTCTCCTTGTCACAAGGCAGGCCAGACCTTTTCACCTTGTACGATAAACTATACGCTTTCTACTTGAAAAATTAAAAGTACAAAAAGCACAAGTGCAGGTTCCACTAATATCGCCCAAGATGTCTTATATATAATCACTATAGGTCTTTTTTTAACATCATAATATAGAATATTATAATTTCTCTATACAGATGCAAAAAACTTGAACACATCAATGCTCTTATTTTAATGGGATATATTCTGAACTCACACACACTTTGCAGTTTACATGAGTGCATCCAAAGGGAGTGTGTATTTGTAATAATAAGTCTGACCCTGTTTTCCACCTCAGATATCCAGATACTTAAACCATCAACATCACTCTCACGACATGCTGAACTGCAAAACACAATGCCATACTGGTCCTGGATCTGTCGCAGAGATATAAAGTAAGCCATATTAGCTACTGTTTGTGTTCTTCTTTTAATAAAATGTGTAATACTCCAAGAAGTAAATAACAAATAGAGTTAATTGCTGGCATTTAAAATAAAGTGTAATGAGTCCTGAAGCTGAACTATCGTCTACAACTTTCAACACAGTTTCAGTCTGTTTTCATTTGTAATTAATTATTATTTTAAGGATGAGTTTAAATGACCATAACTCAGCCCAGTCTGATTGTACAAAGCCCCAGTTGTCCAGGATTTAGGTATTGTTCAAGCCATAGCCACCATGATGCAACCATAATTGTGTATAGCTATGTGTATTTTAATGTAGGTCCACACGTAGAATAAAAACAATATTTTTTGATTGTTAGAAAAACAAAATTACAGGACTTTTGTGTCAGATGTGTGCACTACCTGAGTGTTTTCCAGTGTGGACACTATTCAAATAAACAGAGGTCTGTGTTTAGATAAATCTCTAAAACTTAACCCGAGATCTGAGTCAAATACATATTTATGCAAGCCCACTATACTCCATGGGCTGAAGAAATACTTAGTTTTTATTACTGGAGGGCAGTATTTCCAGCTGTATGAAATGAATCAGCTGCAGTATAACATACAAACTCTGCAATCACTTCAATTTACAGAAATATCTAAAACCTGCTATCACGACCAAGATATCACATTTAATTGTGTTTATTTAAATCAGGTGACATGACATGGGGTATGGGTAATAGGGAGAAACGGGTGAGAGGGTTAGGAAAGGAGGGAGGAAACCTGATGGGGGGGGTAAGAGGGTAGGAAAGGTAGGGTTGTTGGGTAGTAGGGGTTAAATGGAGAAAGGGGTAGGGGGGATTAGGAAGGGAGAAAGAATGGGAGGTAAGAGGGTAGGAGAGGTAGGGTTGTTGGGGAGTAGGGGTGAAAGGGAGAAAGGGGTGAGGGGGTTAGGAAAGGAGGGAGGAAACCTGATGGGCAGATGGGGGAGGGGGGTAGGAAAGGTAGGGTTGTTGGGTAGTAGGGGTTAAACGGAGAAAGGGGTAGGGGGGTAGGAAGGGAGAAAGAATGTAGGGTTGTTGGGGAGTAGGGGTGAGAGGGTTAGGAAAGGAGGGGAGGAAAACTGGAAGGGGAGATGGGGGGTAAAATGATATTACTCCTCTCTTCTTCTTCTCTCTTTCTTCTTTCTTCTCTCTTTCCTCATTTTATTTCTTTTCTCTCTTTAATCTCTCCTTTTCCTTTTTCTCATTTTCTTCCTTCTCTTTCTTCTCTCTCTCTCTCTTCTCTCCTTCTTTTCTTTCTTCTCCCTTTCCTGATTTTCTTTCTTTTCTCTCTTCAATCTCTCCTTTTCCTTTTTCTCATTTTCTTCCTTCTCTTTCTTCTCCTCCTCTTTTATCTCCTCTTTTCTTTTTTCTCCCTTTCCTGATTTTCTTTCTTTTCTCTCTTCAATCTCTCCTTTTCCTTCTTCTCATTTTCTTTTTTCTCTTTCTTCTCTCTCTTTCCTCCTCTTTTCTCTCCTTCTTCAGCCTCTTTTCTGTCTCCTTCCTTGCCCTCTTTTCGTTCTTTCTCATCTTGGCCTTCTCATCGTCAGTTTTGTCGGCGAGCTCCTGAAAAGACAAAAGTAGAAAGTCATTCAGTGTTTTCTCTTTCAAAGACTAAATATGAAACAAAGTGTTAGAATCCAACAAGTTATTATTTCAATTAAAGTGATCAGCTGATGTGCCGTACCTGGAGCTCAGTGTTTAGCTCGCTCAGGAGCTTAATGTCCTCCTCCATCGTGTGCTCTTTTTGGAGCCACTTCTCCTCCAGCTCTCTATTGTTTTTCTGCTCTCCACTGAGAAGATCCTGCAGAGCTTTGTTTTTACTCTTCAACTCTGCCTGGCTCTGGTGGAGCTCTGTGTTTATGGATTTTAATGTCACCATATTTCCCTCCACCATTGCCATAATTTCCCTTGTTACCGTGGAAATGATCTCATCTTCCTTTACCTTCATCTCCTTCTCCTCACAGTGCTCCTGCAGAGTGGTCAGCTCGGCATCTCCCTCCTCCTCATTCACAAGCCACTGGCTTTCCCACCCTGCAGTAAACTGATTTAGAGATTTCTCCACGCAAAGCTTCATTTTCATGACCTGGTCCCGCTCTTCTTTCCACAATGTTTTTATTTTCTCTGTCTCCATCTGTTGACAGCTCAGGTGTTTCTTAAGAGAGCAGACCTCTTCTTCTAATATTTCATTTTTTCTCTCCGTCTCCTTTCTTTGAATGTCACTTTGTTTAAGAATGGCTGTTGTGGACTGTAAAGCCCCATCTAGGAAATCTCTTTCATTTCTGGTTGTATATAGAGTTGAGACTATACGCCTGTTTTATCCAGAAGCTTCTGCCTTTCCTTTTCCCAGCTGATCTCTTTGTTGGCCATTTGCTCCTTCAGAGCAGCATTTTCTGAGGCCAGCTGCCTGTGTACTGATTTTGAGTCTTTAAGGGCTCGTCGCAGAGCGTGCAGGGCTCTGCCTGGAGAATGCTGTGAGCACTGAAAGACACAAATATACATGCAATACGTAAAAATATTGTCCCGTGTTAACTTTGAATACACAGAAAAAGAGGGGATCTTTCACACATCTGAAGCTATCTGTAGTAAAAGAGCCCTACATCACTGGCAGCAAAATGAAATGTCCCTCATTCACAGCTTCAGCAAAAACAGTCAAATTCTCAATTTACTATTGAGTAATAGTATTTCAGTAAAATGTTGTTTTGTGTTTCACTTAAATATAGTCAAAATAGAAATATCCTCAAGCCAACTGCACAATATCCAGAAATGTCTTGTAAACTACAGCGACACAAAGTCTGTCACCTTGTGTCCCCGACTCACAGTAAACACATTACAGCAATGATGTTGTAAAACTCTAAACACTGAAAACATTATGACATTGTACAGTTCACATGTCTCAATACAACACATTCATGTAAATTAGAAACTAAATATAAAGAAACTCAGTCAGCTCACTGGCCAGACCTCTGAATCGCTGCCCTCTCTTCAAAAATATTTATAAATACTATATTTGTTGAAGCTTTGGACAAAAGATGTAGTGTCTCCTGGTTCAGAAAATCTTACCTCGTCTCTTGAGTTTGTCTCCATGTTGGCTGAACACAGGGATCGGTGTTGGAGATATACTACTGTAGTGTTGCTTGTGGTTGTAGTGTACCTTGGGTGGTTGTGTACCGCAGGTTTTGACGTCTTTGGTTCTAGTCGAGATCTAATTTCTGTAGTTTTGGTCTGTTGACACTGGGAGATGTTTCTCTGTTGGAGGTCAGGTTGCATCTAACTGGAGTTTGTCAGGAGGCTTTAATCCAACAGAACATTCTGTTGGACATTCTGCATGATGTCATAACGGGCTCCATATTGTGTCATCAAAGGTTTCAGAATGGGACGACGGTCATCAAAGGTTTCAGAGTGGGACGACGGTCATCAAAGGTTTCAGAATGAGATGACATCACATGAATTCAGTGTTCTCCTTGTCACAAGGCAGGCCAGACCTTTTCACCTTGTACGATAAACTATACGCTTTCTACTTGAAAAATTAAAAGTACAAAAAGCACAAGTGCAGGTTCCACTAATATCGCCCAAGATGTCTTATATAATATAATCACTATAGGTCTTTTTTTAACATCATAATATAGAATATTATAATTTCTCTATACAGATGCAAAAAAACTTGAACACATCAATGCTCTTATTTTAATGGGATATATTCTGAACTCACACACACTTTGCAGTTTACATGAGTGCATCCAAAGGGAGTGTGTATTTGTAATAATAAGTCTGACCCTGTTTTCCACCTCAGATATCCAGATACTTAAACCATCAACATCACTCTCACGACATGCTGAACTGCAAAACACAATGCCATACTGGTCCTGGATCTGTCGCAGAGATATAAAGTAAGCCATATTAGCTACTGTTTGTGTTCTTCTTTTAATAAAATGTGTAATACTCCAAGAAGTAAATAACAAATAGAGTTAATTGCTGGCATTTAAAATAAAGTGTAATGAGTCCTGAAGCTGAACTATCGTCTACAACTTTCAACACAGTTTCAGTCTGTTTTCATTTGTAATTAATTATTATTTTAAGGATGAGTTTAAATGACCATAACTCAGCCCAGTCTGATTGTACAAAGCCCCAGTTGTCCAGGATTTAGGTATTGTTCAAGCCATAGCCACCATGATGCAACCATAATTGTGTATAGCTATGTGTATTTTAATGTAGGTCCACACGTAGAATAAAAACAATATTTTTTGATTGTTAGAAAAACAAAATTACAGGACTTTTGTGTCAGATGTGTGCACTACCTGAGTGTTTTCCAGTGTGGACACTATTCAAATAAACAGAGGTCTGTGTTTAGATAAATCTCTAAAACTTAACCCGAGATCTGAGTCAAATACATATTTATGCAAGCCCACTATACTCCATGGGCTGAAGAAATACTTAGTTTTTATTACTGGAGGGCAGTATTTCCAGCTGTATGAAATGAATCAGCTGCAGTATAACATACAAACTCTGCAATCACTTCAATTTACAGAAATATCTAAAAACCTGCTATCACGACCAAGATATCACATTTAATTGTGTTTATTTAAAAGATCAGGTGACATGACATGGGGTATGGGTAATAGGGAGAAACGGGTGAGAGGGTTAGGAAAGGAGGGAGGAAACCTGATGGGGGGGGTAAGAGGGTAGGAAAGGTAGGGTTGTTGGGTAGTAGGGGTTAAATGGAGAAAGGGGTAGGGGGGATTAGGAAGGGAGAAAGAATGGGAGGTAAGAGGGTAGGAGAGGTAGGGTTGTTGGGGAGTAGGGGTGAAAGGGAGAAAGGGGTGAGGGGGTTAGGAAAGGAGGGAGGAAACCTGATGGGCAGATGGGGTCGGAGGGGGGTAGGAAAGGTAGGGTTGTTGGGTAGTAGGGGTTAAACGGAGAAAGGGGTAGGGGGGTTAGGAAGGGAGAAAGAATGAGAGGTAGGGTTGTTGGGGAGTAGGGGTGAGAGGGTTAGGAAAGGAGGGGAGGAAAACTGGAAGGGGAGATGGGGGGTAAAATGATATTACTCCTCTTTCTTCTCCATCATCTCTCTTCTTTCTTTCTTCTCTCTTTCCTCATTTTATTTCTTTTCTCTCTTTAATCTCTCCTTTTCCTTTTTCTCATTTTCTTCCTTCTCTTTCTTCTCTCTCTTCTCCTCTTTTCTCTCCTTCTTTTCTTTCTTCTCCCTTTCCTGATTTTCTTTCTTTTCTCTCTTCAATCTCTCCTTTTCCTTTTTCTCATTTTCTTCCTTCTCTTTCTTCTCCTCCTCTTTTATCTCCTCTTTTCTTTTTTCTCCCTTTCCTGATTTTCTTTCTTTTCTCTCTTCAATCTCTCCTTTTCCTTCTTCTCATTTTCTTTTTTCTCTTTCTTCTCTCTCTTTTCCTCCTCTTTTCTCTCCTTCTTCAGCCTCTTTTCTGTCTCCTTCCTTGCCCTCTTTTCGTTCTTTCTCATCTTGGCCTTCTCATCGTCAGTTTTGTCGGCGAGCTCCTGAAAAGACAAAAGTAGAAAGTCATTCAGTGTTTTCTCTTTCAAAGACTAAATATGAAACAAAGTGTTAGAATCCAACAAGTTATTATTTCAATTAAAGTGATCAGCTGATGTGCCGTACCTGGAGCTCAGTGTTTAGCTCGCTCAGGAGCTTAATGTCCTCCTCCATCGTGTGCTCTTTTTGGAGCCACTTCTCCTCCAGCTCTCTATTGTTTTTCTGCTCTCCACTGAGAAGATCCTGCAGAGCTTTGTTTTTACTCTTCAACTCTGCCTGGCTCTGGTGGAGCTCTGTGTTTATGGATTTTAATGTCACCATATTTCCCTCCACCATTGCCATAATTTCCCTTGTTACCATGGAAATGATCTCATCTTCCTTTACCTTCATCTCCTTCTCCTCACAGTGCTCCTGCAGAGTGGTCAGCTCGGCATCTCCCTCCTCCTCATTCACAAGCCACTGGCTTTCCCACCCTGCAGTAAACTGATTTAGAGATTTCTCCACGCAAAGCTTCATTTTCATGACCTGGTCCCGCTCTTCTTTCCACAATGTTTTTATTTTCTCTGTCTCCATCTGTTGACAGCTCAGGTGTTTCTTAAGAGAGCAGACCTCTTCTTCTAATATTTCATTTTTTCTCTCCGTCTCCTTTCTTTGAATGTCACTTTGTTTAAGAATGGCTGTTGTGGACTGTAAAGCCCCATCTAGGAAATCTCTTTCATTTCTGATTGTATATAGAGTTGAGACTATACGCCTGTTTTATCCAGAAGCTTCTGCCTTTCCTTTTCCCAGCTGATCTCTTTGTTGGCCATTTGCTCCTTCAGAGCAGCATTTTCTGAGGCCAGCTGCCTGTGTACTGATTTTGAGTCTTTAAGGGCTCGTCGCAGAGCGTGCAGGGCTCTGCCTGGAGAATGCTGTGAGCACTGAAAGACACAAATATACATGCAATACGTAAAAATATTGTCCCGTGTTAACTTTGAATACACAGAAAAAGAGGGGATCTTTCACACATCTGAAGCTATCTGTAGTAAAAGAGCCCTACATCACTGGCAGCAAAATGAAATGTCCCTCATTCACAGCTTCAGCAAAAACAGTCAAATTCTCAATTTACTATTGAGTAATAGTATTTCAGTAAAATGTTGTTTTGTGTTTCACTTAAATATAGTCAAAATAGAAATATCCTCAAGCCAACTGCACAATATCCAGAAATGTCTTGTAAACTACAGCGACACAAAGTCTGTCACCTTGTGTCCCCGACTCACAGTAAACACATTACAGCAATGATGTTGTAAAACTCTAAACACTGAAAACATTATGACATTGTACAGTTCACATGTCTCAATACAACACATTCATGTAAATTAGAAACTAAATATAAAGAAACTCAGTCAGCTCACTGGCCAGACCTCTGAATCGCTGCCCTCTCTTCAAAAATATTTATAAATACTATATTTGTTGAAGCTTTGGACAAAAGATGTAGTGTCTCCTGGTTCAGAAAATCTTACCTCGTCTCTTGAGTTTGTCTCCATGTTGGCTGAACACAGGGATCGGTGTTGGAGATATACTACTGTAGTGTTGCTTGTGGTTGTAGTGTACCTTGGGTGGTTGTGTACCGCAGGTTTTGACGTCTTTGGTTCTAGTCGAGATCTAATTTCTGTAGTTTTGGTCTGTTGACACTGGGAGATGTTTCTCTGTTGGAGGTCAGGTTGCATCTAACTGGAGTTTGTCAGGAGGCTTTAATCCAACAGAACATTCTGTTGGACATTCTGCATGATGTCATAACGGGCTCCATATTGTGTCATCAAAGGTTTCAGAATGGGACGACGGTCATCAAAGGTTTCAGAATGGGACGACGGTCATCAAAGGTTTCAGAATGAGATGACATCACATGAATTCAGTGTTCTCCTTGTCACAAGGCAGGCCAGACCTTTTCACCTTGTACGATAAACTATACGCTTTCTACTTGAAAAATTAAAAGTACAAAAAGCACAAGTGCAGGTTCCACTAATATCGCCCAAGATGTCTTATATAATATAATCACTATAGGTCTTTTTTTAACATCATAATATAGAATATTATAATTTCTCTATACAGATGCAAAAAAACTTGAACACATCAATGCTCTTATTTTAATGGGATATATTCTGAACTCACACACACTTTGCAGTTTACATGAGTGCATCCAAAGGGAGTGTGTATTTGTAATAATAAGTCTGACCCTGTTTTCCACCTCAGATATCCAGATACTTAAACCATCAACATCACTCTCACGACATGCTGAACTGCAAAACACAATGCCATACTGGTCCTGGATCTGTCGCAGAGATATAAAGTAAGCCATATTAGCTACTGTTTGTGTTCTTCTTTTAATAAAATGTGTAATACTCCAAGAAGTAAATAACAAATAGAGTTAATTGCTGGCATTTAAAATAAAGTGTAATGAGTCCTGAAGCTGAACTATCGTCTACAACTCCAACACAGTTTCAGTCTGTTTTCATTTGTAATTAATTATTATTTTAAGGATGAGTTTAAATGACCATAACTCAGCCCAGTCTGATTGTACAAAGCCCCAGTTGTCCAGGATTTAGGTATTGTTCAAGCCATAGCCACCATGATGCAACCATAATTGTGTATAGCTATGTGTATTTTAATGTAGGTCCACACGTAGAATAAAAACAATATTTTTTGATTGTTAGAAAAACAAAATTACAGGACTTTTGTGTCAGATGTGTGCACTACCTGAGTGTTTTCCAGTGTGGACACTATTCAAATAAACAGAGGTCTGTGTTTAGATAAATCTCTAAAACTTAACCCGAGATCTGAGTCAAATACATATTTATGCAAGCCCACTATACTCCATGGGCTGAAGAAATACTTAGTTTTTATTACTGGGGGGCAGTATTTCCAGCTGTATGAAATGAATCAGCTGCAGTATAACATACAAACTCTGCAATCACTTCAATTTACAGAAATATCTAAAACCTGCTATCACGACCAAGATATCACATTTAATTGTGTTTATTTACATTTATTTCAGGTGACATGACATGGGGTATGGGTAATAGGGAGAAACGGGTGAGAGGGTTAGGAAAGGAGGGAGGAAACCTGATGGGGGGGGGGGGGGGGTAAGAGGGTAGGAAAGGTAGGGTTGTTGGGTAGTAGGGGTTAAATGGAGAAAGGGGTAGGGGGGATTAGGAAGGGAGAAAGAATGGGAGGTAAGAGGGTAGGAGAGGTAGGGTTGTTGGGGAGTAGGGGTGAAAGGGAGAAAGGGGTGAGGGGGTTAGGAAAGGAGGGAGGAAACCTGATGGGCAGATGGGGTCGGAGGGGGGTAGGAAAGGTAGGGTTGTTGGGTAGTAGGGGTTAAACGGAGAAAGGGGTAGGGGGGGTTAGGAAGGGAGAAAGAATGAGAGGTAGGGTTGTTGGGGAGTAGGGGTGAGAGGGTTAGGAAAGGAGGGGAGGAAAACTGGAAGGGGAGATGGGGGGTAAAATGATATTACTCCTCTTTCTTCTCCATCATCCTCTCTCTTTCTTTTCTTTCTTCTCTCTTTCCTCATTTTATTTCTTTTCTCTCTTTAATCTCTCCTTTTCCTTTTTCTCATTTTCTTCCTTCTCTTTCTTCTCTCTCTTCTCCTCTTTTCTCTCCTTCTTTTCTTTCTTCTCCCTTTCCTGATTTTCTTTCTTTTCTCTCTTCAATCTCTCCTTTTCCTTTTTCTCATTTTCTTCCTTCTCTTTCTTCTCCTCCTCTTTATCTCCCTCTTTTCTTTTTTCTCCCTTTCCTGATTTTCTTTCTTTTCTCTCTTCAATCTCTCCTTTTCCTTCTTCTCATTTTCTTTTTTCTCTTTCTTCTCTCTCTTTTCCTCCTCTTTTCTCTCCTTCTTCAGCCTCTTTTCTGTCTCCTTCCTTGCCCTCTTTTCGTTCTTTCTCATCTTGGCCTTCTCATCGTCAGTTTTGTCGGCGAGCTCCTGAAAAGACAAAAGTAGAAAGTCATTCAGTGTTTTCTCTTTCAAAGACTAAATATGAAACAAAGTGTTAGAATCCAACAAGTTATTATTTCAATTAAAGTGATCAGCTGATGTGCCGTACCTGGAGCTCAGTGTTTAGCTCGCTCAGGAGCTTAATGTCCTCCTCCATCGTGTGCTCTTTTTGGAGCCACTTCTCCTCCAGCTCTCTATTGTTTTTCTGCTCTCCACTGAGAAGATCCTGCAGAACTTTGTTTTTACTCTTCAACTCTGCCTGGCTCTGGTGGAGCTCTGTGTTTATGGATTTTAATGTCACCATATTTCCCTCCACCATTGCCATAATTTCCCTTGTTACCATGGAAATGATCTCATCTTCCTTTACCTTCATCTCCTTCTCCTCACAGTGCTCCTGCAGAGTGGTCAGCTCGGCATCTCCCTCCTCCTCATTCACAAGCCACTGGCTTTCCCACCCTGCAGTAAACTGATTTAGAGATTTCTCCACGCAAAGCTTCATTTTCATGACCTGGTCCCGCTCTTCTTTCCACAATGTTTTTATTTTCTCTGTCTCCATCTGTTGACAGCTCAGGTGTTTCTTAAGAGAGCAGACCTCTTCTTCTAATATTTCATTTTTTCTCTCCATCTCCTTTCTTTGAATGTCACTTTGTTTAAGAATGGCTGTTGTGGACTGTAAAGCCCCATCTAGGAAATCTCTTTCATTTCTGATTGTATATAGAGTTGAGACTATACGGCCTGTTTTATCCAGAAGCTTCTGCCTTTCCTTTTCCCAGCTGATCTCTTTGTTGGCCATTTGCTCCTTCAGAGCAGCATTTTCTGAGGCCAGCTGCCTGTGTACTGATTTTGAGTCTTTAAGGGCTCGTCGCAGAGCGTGCAGGGCTCTGCCTGGAGAATGCTGTGAGCACTGAAAGACACAAATATACATGCAATACGTAAAAATATTGTCCCGTGTTAACTTTGAATACACAGAAAAAGAGGGGATCTTTCACACATCTGAAGCTATCTGTAGTAAAAGAGCCCTACATCACTGGCAGCAAAATGAAATGTCCCTCATTCACAGCTTCAGCAAAAACAGTCAAATTCTCAATTTACTATTGAGTAATAGTATTTCAGTAAAATGTTGTTTTGTTTCACTTAAATATAGTCAAAATAGAAATATCCTCAAGCCAACTGCACAATATCCAGAAATGTCTTGTAAACTACAGCGACACAAAGTCTGTCACCTTGTGTCCCCGACTCACAGTAAACACATTACAGCAATGATGTTGTAAAACTCTAAACACTGAAAACATTATGACATTGTACAGTTCACATGTCTCAATACAACACATTCATGTAAATTAGAAACTAAATATAAAGAAACTCAGTCAGCTCACTGGCCAGACCTCTGAATCGCTGCCCTCTCTTCAAAATATTTATAAATACTATCTTTGTTGAAGCTTTGGACAAAAGATGTAGTGTCTCCTGGTTCAGAAAATCTTACCTCGTCTCTTGAGTTTGTCTCCATGTTGGCTGAACACAGGGATCGGTGTTGGAGATATACTACTGTAGTGTTGCTTGTGGTTGTAGTGTACCTTGGGTGGTTGTGTACCGCAGGTTTTGACGTCTTTGGTTCTAGTCGAGATCTAATTTCTGTAGTTTTGGTCTGTTGACACTGGGAGATGTTTCTCTGTTGGAGGTCAGGTTGCATCTAACTGGAGTTTGTCAGGAGGCTTTAATCCAACAGAACATTCTGTTGGACATTCTGCATGATGTCATAACGGGCTCCATATTGTGTCATCAAAGGTTTCAGAATGGGACGACGGTCATCAAAGGTTTCAGAATGGGACGACGGTCATCAAAGGTTTCAGAATGAGATGACATCACATGAATTCAGTGTTCTCCTTGTCACAAGGCAGGCCAGACCTTTTCACCTTGTACGATAAACTATACGCTTTCTACTTGAAAAATTAAAAGTACAAAAAGCACAAGTGCAGGTTCCACTAATATCGCCCAAGATGTCTTATATAATATAATCACTATAGGTCTTTTTTTAACATCATAATATAGAATATTATAATTTCTCTATACAGATGCAAAAAAACTTGAACACATCAATGCTCTTATTTTAATGGGATATATTCTGAACTCACACACACTTTGCAGTTTACATGAGTGCATCCAAAGGGAGTGTGTATTTGTAATAATAAGTCTGACCCTGTTTTCCACCTCAGATATCCAGATACTTAAACCATCAACATCACTCTCACGACATGCTGAACTGCAAAACACAATGCCATACTGGTCCTGGATCTGTCGCAGAGATATAAAGTAAGCCATATTAGCTACTGTTTGTGTTCTTCTTTTAATAAAATGTGTAATACTCCAAGAAGTAAATAACAAATAGAGTTAATTGCTGGCATTTAAAATAAAGTGTAATGAGTCCTGAAGCTGAACTATCGTCTACAACTCCAACACAGTTTCAGTCTGTTTTCATTTGTAATTAATTATTATTTTAAGGCTATCACCACAGCACTGTAAACAAACTGACATGAAATGAAGGGAAAGTTGTGTATTTGAGGAATGACAAGCTTGTCGTAAACCAAAATGATGAAAATAGGGTAGACAAAAATCATAATTTTATTTTTCTACATTACAAAACGGGCTCAAACCGTCAAAAATCCTACTCCTCCTCGCCTGCTTAACACAGAGCTTTGCCACAGTTCACATTCAAGCAGGGTTGTCCTAATGGGCTGCCTGGGGAACAAAGATGTGCATGAAAGTGTCTAGGCGTCCTCATCATCGCTTCCTGCCAGGCTGCTGTCTGTAGAGTCCGCTTCCTGATCCTGTGGCTGTGGTTCTGGTTGTGGCTGCTGTTCAGGCTCCGTGGTGCTGGAGGGCTTTGTGGGCTCTGTGGTGGTGCCACCCTCTGCTGGCTTGGCGGTGTTGTTCTGCTGGCCTTGCTGGCCTCCTTCCAGGAAAGTAGACCAACCCTTGAGCCGCTCCTCCCGCTCGCGTGTCGTCTCTTCCACCTACACAAACACAATAAACATGAAGGTCGCAGATTGAAGAAGAGTCTGTTAGTCTGAGATATCACAATAACTCAAATGCCATGTGACTTGTTTGGCAGAATGAACAGTCTTTTGAGATGTATAGTATGTATGTGTTTTTATTAATTAAATAAGTTCTTCTAGATATATTTTCATACATCTTGTATTAACAGCAGTAGTGCTTATAGTATTAACAGTAACTTTAGCAGAACTTGGAGGAGCAACACTTTAAATCAACTGCAAATATCAACAGATCAGATTTCAAGACACTTGAGATACATTAATACCAGGTGTAAATATGGCCTTTGTTGCCCCAGCCCCGGACCCAGAACCCCAAACTTCTGCCACATCTCAGTGTTTATGTACAGACATGAACAAAATGTGTGGCTGAAGGGATGAGGGGTTGGAAAGAGCCTTGTAGTGGTCACATACAATCTCCAAGTTTGTCACACAATGGTGTTACTTTTATTTGCTTGGCTCTGCATCCCCAGTCCCCCAACATAGTTTCAATATTTGTATTTGGTGTACCTGATAGTCTGTCGTTCCATCCCAAAGCTGAGCAGACAGCTGCCTTCCTCCAAACCAGCGACCATTGAACGAAAGAATGCATGCATCGGCTTGCTCAGGCTCCTTAAATGCGATCGATGCCACACCGTCTGGGTGTCTCTGCAGCACAGACATAACCACATACCTGCTCTTTACTGATGACACGGGCATAAAAAAAAAAAACCTGACACAAAGTCAAACCACTACTAACGACATTATACTCACATCAAAGAGGATGACCTTCTTGACCTCCCCGAACTTCTCACACTCCGACCGCAGATCCTCACGATACTCATTCAGCACCAGTGGGTCTTCCTACAAAGGCCGACAGAGACACAGTGATTATTAACCCTCAATGGACATGTACAAAAAGAAAATCATTGCAGGTTTAAGGTTAGGGTTATGGTTAGGCAAGTAGTGGTTATGGTAAGTCTCCAGGAAATTAATGTAATGCCCTCTGAAATGATGGAAACGTACCTCAAAGTCACTGGGATGGAACATGTTCCTAATGATAACAACTTTTTCATGCCTCTTCCTCACTTCTCCTTGCTTCTCCGGCCTCCAGTCCAACTGTCTACAAAGACAAACACACAGACAAACAGGCCCCATCAGTGGGAAGCCATGTGAAGGCATGCTCAATTCCTTGTCTTCTCTTAATCCACTTCAGCGTTTTGGTAAGTTGAGTTTATCTGTCCACGCAGAGTGGGACTTGTTGGAGGTAAAGAAAGAGAACAGGAAGTAGAGTTTACTTCTGTTGCTGCTGCATCTTCTTCCTGTAATCTTTGCTCTTCTTCTTCTTCTTGCTGGCGTCATACTGGCCCTTTAGCTCAAACCGTGCTGCTTCCACGTGGAGTCTATAACCTCTGACCTCTGACTCGTCAATCAAACGCAGAGCCAAAGCCACCGACTCCTTCTGCAGAGAATCACAAACGCACACTGTCAAAACTGTAATGCAACAGTTATACCTCTGCTCTGTACTGTGTCATTCAAAGCGGAGACACAAGACAAAGAGAACAAAAGATGCACCAGAGAGTGAATATCGAAATAACATTCGTCAGCTGGACAGAAAGTGGACTCCAAATTAATGTCAATGTAACTTAATGTCATCCATAATAAACATGTTAGCAATATCAACTTTATATGGTGACAATATTTCAGTATTAGTGTATGTCAGCTTCTTCTGGAGTTCTTCTGCCCTCTAGTATGACTTTTGTGCTGCTTTAAAGTTTACACAATTATGTTATACCTCTTTGAGAGCTAGAGTACTTTGGCTTTTGTTGTCAAACAGAGAAAAGCATGTCTGGTTCCATGTCTCTAACAGGGTAAATGCACAAAACATGCATTTGATTATGCAGCCAAAACATAACTAAAAGCGAGAAAAGAAAAAAAAGATTTTTAATATCTTGCTGCAGACAAACTGATGTAGTGATGCAACCACTTTAGACATTCAGTGCGTTTACATGCACATTCCAGTTGGCTCCAGTGAGCTGATTTCTTAACCGTCATGTAAACAAGAAACTTGGTTACCATAACTGGGAGATTACAGAAACCTGATTTCCCCAGGTTGGACGGCCACTTTCTTGGCCATGTATGTAATCTGCTTTTTACAAGTACCTACACGCATGACAAAGACTGCAGACAGGGAAAGTGACAGCATGGTGAGTGGATGAAAGGAGAGAGAATTACACTGAGTAATGTATTCTCATATTTAAAATAAAAACACAATATTGCCTCTAGACGTGTAGATAAGTTAGTTTCTGCCCCTCTCACTGTTCTGACAGTCAGCTCCAACAAACACCACAGAAAAAAAACCTCAGGAATAAAGTTACAATAAATAAGGCATGCTTCCAAAATAAGATAAAGGGTCGGAGACAATTTTCTTTACTGACCTGCTGCATATATATACAGATTTACAGCAACCAGGTTTCTACAACTGTAGGTCTGCTGAAAATGTCAGTTCTTTTAAATTAAGACTTTTCTTTTTACCGTTGCTTTTAATTAAATATTTACACGGTGAGAAATGAGTAGGTAATTGAGTGAAAAGATAAAGAGAGTGAGATTGAACAGAGTGAAGGAAGTGGTCTTAAATCTCGCGCCTGTAAACACGCAGGTGGGTCCAGAGTATAACTGGATCAAAGTGGCCTGTGGACAGACATGTCCTGGTTTCTCTGTAGTGTCCAAGGGTTTCAGATTGCTGTGGACCCGAGTACAGACTAGCTAGAGTAGATTAAGTGTACTTCTCTATTTATCCTCTTTTCAAAATAATTGTAACTCAATTATTTGCTCAACCCCTCAGCCTGTTTTTATTTTCCATTTAACTCTTTTAACCCTGATTGTACACTGCACTGTAACTTTTACTGTCCTGTTTATTATTATTTTTTCATTTCCCTATGTTGCTTTTATGTTTAATGTATAGCACTTTGAATTGCCTTGTTGTTGAAATGTGCTATACAAATAAACTTGCCTTGCCTTACAATGCATTTACATGTTTTCTCTGATTACCTGCATGACCTGGTTTCTCTGAGTAACCTGATTAATTAAGTGCATTTAAATGTGACAGAGTTAAAGTGCGGATACAGTCCAAAAACAGACACGGTACAAGTGGTTTACACATTTATACTACATTGGAAGTCAGCGTAAATCAAACTTTAGGCTTACAGAAGGACAGACTAACCTTGAGATAGCAGCAGAGGCCGTCTCCCTTCAGATTCCCTTCTTTGTCCTTGTAGAGTTTGACTTTGTATTCTTCAGTGATGGGGTCCCGCATCACAATGCCGCACTTGGACATCAACTCAGCAAACTCGTCAGTGCTGATGTCCGGAGGCAAGCCTGAGGAAAAGGAGACCAAGTGAGAAAAATAGGAGAGAGAAGAGAGATAGGATAAACAGAGTCAGCTACTCATTGGACAATGAGAAGGGGAAAAAATGTTAGCAATACCAACCTGACACATAGACGTTCGTGTTTTTATGGTCATCAATATCAAACCACCCTACATGCACAAAAACAGGGAAAAAAGCATTTATCAAAAGATGCATAAGTACAAACCTAGACTTAGAATTGTACATATAAATCTATACTGTAAACAAGCATAACCACTACTGTAGGCAGGGAGACAGATCGTATACCACCATAGTTAGTTACTGCCCTGGTTTTTCCACTCTGGTTGTTGGTGTTGCTTTACCTGGCTCTGCTTTCCTCTTCTCCCCTTTCTGCTTTGTGTCTTTAGCTGGGGTCTCGTTCTGGTCTGGGTTCAGGGTGGCATCTCCTGGTTTCTCCTTTTCTGAAGGCTTGCTGTCTGGGGCTGTGGGGTCGGTGCTGCTCACTGCACCGTTGTTAGCATCTGGATCTCCTTCCTGAGTGAAGCCATAGTTGGCCTGGTAGGCTGCAATGAAGTCCTCTGTTATCTAGAGAAACAAAGCAAACCTACTTAACATTAACACGGAATCAGGCTCTGGCCAATTTTGCCAAGTTAACACTTTCTATGCCACAGCTCTTCCAATCAGAGTAACATCCTGTACATCCCAATGTCAACCAAGCTGGCAAAGAGTACACTTTACAATCACCACAACTTGCATAACCCGTAATAAGTGTTGATGCAGAATCATATTCATATATATATATATATATATATATATATACACACATATATATATAAAAAAAATATGATGTGGGGAAACAAAAGCTGAGGTGTAAAGAAAAGTTTTTACTTTAGGGAACCAGGCCTTCTTCTCATGGTCCCAGTCATACACAGTCCCGTCCACTGGGTCAGTGTAGGTGTTGGGGTCAGAGCCGTCCTCATTTCTCTGGCCGTAGAGTTCCTGCAGCCGCAGCTGCTCCATAAACTCTTTGTTGGCATCTGATCCACCGCTCATCTGCAACAAGATCACAAATTAACCACCAAGTCATTACAGTTCAGCGTGTACATAACAGTTGTTTTACGCATGAATGTGGCAAGTCTTTTACACTGTACTAGTGTTGATTTAAAATCCTGCTTTGCCATTTCCTATTTAATATTTCAGTCTTGCAAAGATTAGGATCATTTAGTTACTACTCATCAAAAGTCAGAAAAGAACGCAAAGTGCTCATAGATAATAGATCATAGATCATAGATAGTAAAATATGCCAAATATTTTAACACCAGACTGTTACCTCATCCCTCTAATTAGAGGCATTTAATTGAAGTATTTTTTATATATATATAAATATATATATAACTAAAATACATACATACACACATATAGATAGATAGATAGATAATGTGTTTGTGCATTTAGTATTAGGTTATGTTTACTATGACAGATGTGTCTTAGTATAAATTGTTATAATGTACCTGCCTGTGGCCAAAGCAGCATACAAATATGCCAGTACATGGTACAAAATGTGTACCAGGCAATAGCCAAATGCTGGTAAAATGAACAAGTGTCTGGTGGATTTCCTTCATTCAGCAGCTAAAAAAAAAAATGGATATCTATTAAGTAGCTGGTAAAATTTGAACATTCACTAGACATTAGGCCGGTGGAGAAAATAAGTTAATTTTGCAGCCTGTGTGTGCTGTAAAAACAAACAATAAACGACTTTTCTTAGCCTATAAATTATTTCTATTGCCTGCTCCTGACACATGACCTCCCACAACAAAGCACTTTTTAAAACAAGCCATTAGCTACCCAGTCATGTGTTGCTGCTGGCGCTGTCACCGTCATGGGAAAGGTGTCAGCCAGTTGTTTTAATTCCTCACACAATGATTATTGAGAACTGACAGCTTGACTCAATGCTAACATGCTAGTTTGGACGTATGAGGATCTGCTGTTGTGTTCGCATCAGGATAGTTGACTGATGTAACACATTTGAGAGTCTGTGCTTAAACGTAACGTATCTGTAACGTTACATGCAATGTGTTTGTCGAGGTTAGCCAAAATAGCTAATGTAAGCTAGCATTAACGTTACCTTTTACGCCAATCCACGCAAAATAAAATCTGGTAGGTGCGATGGTAAACAGCCTCCCTCCGTCTAAAGACCTGACCACAGGATAGACTCGGCTCGTGTATTTAGAAAATGTATTTAGTGTTTTAAATTAATTTTACTTTACAACGTTAATCACTGCCCGCTAACGTTTATTGCCCCTCAACTCTCAACATTCATGAGTCCGCAACGACAGAAGAAGTGCTTCCGAGGTCAGATTCCGAGTGCGCCTGCGTGGAACTGGGAATGAAGCGCTCGATTTGCTTTTATCGTTTCACCGTAGCGTCTGTTTGTTTATTTATTATGTATTTTTATTTTATTGACCGAATAAGATACAAAACTCTCGTAGGGGAAGAAAGGCATCTATCAATAGGTACAATATAATTGTCAATACCGAACAACAAAGAAATAACAACAAACAGACAAGAAAGTGGGTACTAGTTGGAAAAAAAAGCTAGAGAAGAGAAAACAACTTCGTTTGGACGCAGCATACAGGGGGAGATTTATCAAAACAGAAATTGCCTGGATATATCTTTGATCTCTACACATCACCATCTGTAACAAAACGATCACTCCGCCCGCCGTTTTTATAGACAACGAATCGACCGCATGTCTTGTCCGAAAACAAGCGCCGATGTTGAAAGCTAGCTAGCTAGCTAGCCGAGCTGTCGGCGCTTTTATCCCTTTGCATCCTGTCAGCTAACAGGTCATAACTCATTTAGCAGACGCTTACCTCGGTGCGGCATGGCGGAGGGTAGCGGTAACGTTAACGTCGACGCGGCCAACTTTCCTCCGGGAGACCCGCAGCTGATCGGTATGATCGTGGAGCATCTGAAGAACAGGGGGCTTTTCGACGAGTTCCGACGGGACTGTCTGGCCGACGTTGACACGAAGGTAACGTTAGTTATCTGAAGCTACCTAGGCTACATCTAAAGTTGAACTTCGGTAAAGCTAATGTTAGCAGGTAACATTACTTATCGAGATTCTGATTGGCATTAGCATTTAGCTGCAAATCCGTTGCTAATTCATTTGGGATAAGTGCAGCAGTGTGTTCATGTACAGTATCATGCGCTTTCTTTGTGGGCTTCGTGCTGTATTTTGACCGTGTTTACATCTCTGACACTGTGTCTTTTCTGCCAGCCTGCCTACCAGAACCTGCGACAGAAAGTTGACAACTTCGTCACGTCGCAGCTGAGCACACAGGACTGGAACCCGTCCATCAACAAGAACCAGATGAGGAACGGACTGAGGCAAAGTGTTGTTCAGTGAGTGTTTCCTTCAGCAGGATTGGACTTCTTACACGTCCTGTGAACACCGTAAAAGGAATAACACTTTAAAATGTAGAACTGCTCTGTGAATTCAGGATATATTTGAATAATTGTAAAATTGTTTTAATTTCCTTCCGGAAAGGCAGCCTCTTTACGGGAATCTACAGTTACTGATTATTTAGCAGTCATTTGCTATGACGTGAAATCCAGCCAGGGTGGCAAGAGACCGATTTGATCGATTGTTTCTACCAATCATTTCGGTCTATAAAGCCACCAGAAAATACTGGGGACGAAAAACACCCTACAGCTCAAGGTGACGTCTTCAAATGTCTTGTTTTGTCCTACTAACAGTCCAAAACCCAAAGACATTGCTGATGAATTTTCTTCTGGGCAGCTACTTGATTAATCGACTAATTGTTGCAGATCTAGTCAAAAACCGAGTAGCACAATCCTTTGTCAGTATCAAATATAAAGCCCTAACAATTATTATTCCCATTATGCCTCTCAGCAGTGTCTTTCACTCTGTTACCATGTATGTGTCATATTGTAAATGTCATGTACTTACAATGAGAAAAGTTGAGTTTTCTTATGACATGACTGCTCACGTTGTGTGTATATATGTACCAATACATCTGTCCCATCTTTAGCCCGAGGTACCCCTGATATATCAGGGTTATTTAGTGAGATTTAAGGAAAGCTAAAAGATTAATCTGGTCTTCATGTGTAAAGTGTGCAGGGCTCCCCTTTTAATGGTGACAATACAAAACTGTTGAAAAGGGATATTTTAAAAGTAATGTTACTTGAGTTGTGTTTTCTTAATTATTTCGTAATTTTAGTACTCAAACCTCTCAGGAGTGTAACTCCTGTCTGTGTTTTGTAGATCAGGTATGCTGGAGTCCGGTGTGGACAGGATCATCACTCAGGTCGTGGACCCCAAGATGAACCACACTTTCCGGCCACACATAGAAACTGCCATCCATGATTTCCTGTCAGGGGACAGTAAGGAGGAGAACACCTTGAGTTCTAACTCTGCACCTTCTGAGCAGACAGAAACACAGGAGGCCTTGCCTGCTTCTGGCCCTAAAACCCCCTGAGGTCTGTTTTAAACATTGAAGTACTAAGGTTCAAGAATAATATAGAAATACAGTTTAAGAAATCAGTATTTTCTCTCGCTGCAGGTGCACATGCTGGTCTTTGCTGGTCTACATACAATGTTGTATGGCTGTGGCAACCTTTTAAAAGGTGCAGCGTCGGACAAGAAGAGGACAAAGAAGAAGAGGAGGTTGTTTCCTCCTGTTTAACAGACTAGAGTCAGGAGTGTGGAGCATTTCTGCATTAAAAATGTTCAGCATGAGGTGTTGTTTCATTGCCCGTCTGTGCTGCGTGAAGCTACTGCTGGAGAAGTTGGACAAAGACGAGCGGTGCGCTCTCACAGCTCTGCACAGCTCTGCACAGCTCTGCACAGCTCTGCCTTTTAGAAAAACATGGAATGAACCTGGATTATTATTTTTGATTTTTTATGTGCCATAACAGAGTTTTATTTTACAAGTTGTATATTGTGTACTGCAGATTTCTCACTCTTGCTATTAATGTGTCTAGACGTTTTCCACTAATAACAGGGTTGACTAACAATCTGTTAAACCTGCAAACTCTAACTGAGAATGACGGGTAAAGTCAGCAGACTGCTTGATTTCCAGTGGATTAGATGAACTAACAAGAGGTATAATCAGGGTGTCAAATTGAATTATTGAAAGATTGTGTTTGTAAATACATATTGTTCAGTATGTTCATTTTTCGTCACATCATGTCCAGTTTCCTTTTGGTGTGTTTATTTGGGTGTATGTGCTTAACTAAACACAGTTGATATTGTGTTCCCCTCTGTCTTCTTTTTCTTATTCTACCCATTTATAGTGTCTGTTTTTATACTCTGATGTATGTAAAGCTGGTAACTCTGAAAAGATGTAAGCCACACAATCAGTTCTTTCTACTAAAGGATGGCTACAACTTTCTCTATTTCCTGTGATGAAAACATCATAAAACAGTACCACCAGGTGGGGTAGTTGTTGTCAGTTACATATTTTAAAGTCAGAATCCACCGAAAAGTATTCGTAGGCTCATAATTTAGAAGCAAAACACCTTATTCTCTCTCTTGAAATGGTTTTGCTGTGACTACCGCTCATGCGCAGGTCCAATCTGCATATTAAAGACAGGACAATAACTATTACTATATGACGAATACAACAGAGTGATGACGAGTGCGTACATGTTGCATGCATCACAACTACTTGTGTTCATCCTGTATTGTAAACTATGCCATTAGCCCTGTAGAGACGTGCATAATGGTGTAAAAAAACATTTTTATGTGGGTCATAAATATCTAATAGCCACCGGTAGTGTCTCTGTCTGTGGGATGATTTCCTGATAGGATCACAGGCAAAACTCAGCAGCCATGTTGCTCTCAAACCCCTGAGAATTCTGTCCGGTTTGTGTGTCCGTGTGTGTCCTCACAGCTTGCGTAACTTTATTGATTCAACTGCTTGTTTTTGTGCAGGAGACTGATCAGAAGTGCAAAAGAACAGTAAAGTTTGTGTACGTATATTTATGTTATGCACATTGTTTTTATCTTGACTCCACACATGAAAACACACATACTTAGTGTATTATTATGTGTAGAGATAATATACAAATAAACTGTAAAGGGTAGATATAAATACGGTAAGATATATGCAGTATGAACATGTGCAGCAGTTACAATAGGCAGCGCACGTTTAAATTACATAATACAGGTGTAAGTACAAATAACGCTAATAGATATGTACAGGATAGACAGTAGTATGAAGGTCAGATATACAGTATTTGGAGGTTATGTCAATAATGCTTATTGCACATTTAGCCCAAAAGTTTTTTGCCTGTTTCAAAAACTTGCAAAATAAATCAATTTATTAATGTACTGATTTATTAATTTGCTGAAACTTTTTAGAAATTTCTGTTTTTATCGTTCAAAGATATATATCGATTAATACAGTTTATAACCATTCGAATGACGTGTGGTCCCCACATATTCTTGTTACCCCTAGTGGTGCTCAAAGAATTTAAAAAATGTGTTGTATTTGAAAAAACTGGCGGTGTGTCTTTACAAAAAGAAAGTCCTGGTAACTCTGTAAAAAATCTGTAGACTGCAGACTGGGAAATTAAGCCAGAACGATGCGGTCGGGTTTTTTAAAAGCTATCATTCCCACAAATGAAATTGTACATTCCGCCTACTATGTTGCCGCAAACGTGAGAAAGGCCCTCAGCATGTAAAAGCTGAAGTATGTTGAACAGACACGTAAAACCATGCAAAACCAACATAATGTGGATTAAGATCTGCAGATACCTTTGGATTTAATCTATATCAGTGGTTCTCAAACTTCTTTTGTTATGACCCCCTTTCAAAAGATAAAAAAAAAGTTCATGCCCCCCCACTACAGGTAAACGGATTATCAATCATTAATATTGGGGGTGTAAAAAAATAAGGAGCCCAGTTGAATTTGATTGAAATAAAAGAAATGATTCAGACCAGCTCGATAGCATCGGCAAAGTGTTTTTGTATTTCCATACATAAATCATGTTCATTCAACTTCCCCTCCATAGTTTTTCCCCGGGTCACCCCCTCCCCGCACCTGCAGTGGCTCTAAGCCCCCAGGATGAGAACCTCTGATCTATATGCTCACAGCAACACATACAGAGACAGACATGTTGTTTACAACATAAGGGTCCTCCATGTGTACTGTTTGCACTGTGGTGCCTATGTGCATTAGTGTGCCAATTTTGATGTGTGTGTGAGTGTGTGTTCGCTGTCTTGGGTGAAGGGTCATTGTGTGGGTGGTCATCAGGGGTTGTGTCAGGGAAGCTGGGGGATGTTGTTTTGAAGCAAGATATGACAGAAAGGTCGGGGAGGCCCTGTTAGAGTAAGTCTTTCCCAACTGGGGCCTCTGCATGGACACACACATAAGCACACACCCTGTCTTTCTACCTTGACCTCCAACTACAACACACGCTCACACACTTGTTCACATTCACTGAAGGCCTCTTGGATGCGGATGAGGTAAACCCCAGGAAGAAAAGGAAGCAAGGGGAGAGGGGAGATTTGTTTGACTTGCATGGAGAAGCTGATGTCATGGTGTCACATGACTATGGCCTGTCTTCTTTGTGGATGTCTCATCAAGTTGAGAGGTCATGGCCATTGCAAGACAAAACATGCAACTACAACAACTACGCTACAAGACTTGACCTTACCGTAAAGAAAAAAACAAAGCTGAACTTACCTTGAACTTGAAGAACATCGTTACAACTGGCTAGGAGATACATTGACATAATTATGATATTATGTTGTGGTAAAACTGTTTGATGTGAATATTTTAGCTCACAAATTGACTGAAACACTTACAGTAGGCTAACCAAAATTAGATCTCATTACTGATATCAAAACATATTTTTTAAAAGGCTGAGCTGCCATGATTTGCTTTGATCACAGACATTTTGGTATTTTTCATTTAATAATGCTTTATAGAGCAGATATTAGCTATAAATAAGAGCAGGAGTTTATGCTTTCTCTTTGGTAATAATTCAGTTATAAATGTTGGTAATGTGTTAATAAATGCTCATGAGTTACTCTCTTTCTATTATGCCATCCTGTCTGCATTTATAAGTGTTAATGCTCATTAAATGATGACGTTAGTCTCATAATAGTGGGATTTTCTTCTGGACATGTCAGAGAACACATATGTGGGAGAGATTCTGAATGTGTAGAAAGTTTTGAACATGAGCAGAAAACCTGCTGAAACACAGGAGCTATTAAAAGTCCAGCAGTTTCTTGGGTTATTTATTTCCCCAAACGGAGACTCAAAAGAGGAGGGAAGGCTCAGCATGTGTGCTGACTCAGAAGGGATTTTTTTTAAATTAATAAAGTTGATCTACAGGAGAAAACATATTTAAAAGCAATGGCTTCAGAATGCCTGAAAGCCTTACTGCATTATATTCTATTCATTTTTTAAGAATTTGAATTGTCACCTAACGCCTGAATATTGTGTTTCCCTTTATATAGATGAAGATTAACCATAAATCGGTGCAGAAATTTTCACCAGAATGCAGGAAATGAAGTCTTTCATGCTTTTGTCCCCTCCACTGTTGAAACTAAACCTTGCATTTCAGGAGAATTACCCAATAAATTCACTACAATGCTAGATTAGTATCTGGGTTGCCACACAGTTTATGTGGGTACACATTCCCAGATCCCAGGTTAGGTTTGGTCTCTCAATTTAGGCCATGGTGTGGAGGCTGATCACACTTCTTCATTATGGACCATGATTATTGACTTGGATGTTCATCTACAACCCTGGTGGCAGACTTTTTAGGATTGGGCATTGTGGTGGTGGTGGTGGTGGTGTGGGGGGGTTGGGGGGTGGGTTCTCACCTATGACTCCAACACTGTCAGGGCTGGCCCTGCCCTCTTCACACACTCACTCCTGCTCTCCCTTTCAGTCTGGGTGCTCCTGATACGTTCCTCACTGCACGTCTCCCTGCCAAGAAAGCAGCTGCTAACACTCACACACACACACACACATACAGGGCTGGCTGGTGGGTTAATTGAGTGTGGATGTCTTGAGTGGTTGACCTTCACGTGCCCCTGCAGACTCCAGAGACACAGGAAGACCTTATAAAAGCATTTCTACTTCGTGAATGTGAGATTTACTTTTACTCCTCTCACGTGTCCCTGTAGGATTTTTCTCTCTCCTCCATTCATCATTCACTTGCACGTGCTTTATTGGATAAAAAAAGAAAATCAAACCAGATCGAAGCCCGATCATCAATTAATTCAACGAAATACATTCTGCTTCTGTTGCTTCTCTCTTTTTCTCTCGTCAATGATAAACTTTTGGCTCACAGTGTTGTGCGCGTTCACAGGGCTGCGCTGTGATTGGCGGAATCGCAAACTCGGGCTGTCGTGAACGCGCAGCTTTATATAATGCAGCCTTCATGCCGTGGTCAGGCTGTAGCCCACAGTAGAGACTCCCCTGCAACCCTGCGCTCCTGCTCGTGCTGCTGCAAACCATAAAACAAACAGATAAGAATAAAAAAAATCTTCGGTTGGTCTCAGGCATGCCGGCGAACTTGTCTGCTCTGTGTTTTCTGCTCCTGGCATGTCAACAGGTGCTGACCGTGGATCCGCACCACGATGTCCAGGAGAAATATGTGAGCCAGACCAAAAGACGCCTCTCTCTGCAGAGCACAGGTGAGCTCTAACAGCAGGTGTGCTGTTGCCCGTTTGTTAGCCTGCGGTGCACGCTGCATCTACATATTTACAATTTCACTGGTCCTTTAATTGTTAGAAAACATTGATTTCAAAGCCTGTGCAATGTTGCCAAGAGCAATCTCTGCAGGAAGGTTTTTTTCAAGGTGTGACTAAAAGTGGTTGTTGATATTGAAAAGTTATCAAATTTCATATATAGCCTTTAGCCTTTTTCCAGACAGGCACTGGGTTATATCCTAGAGAAAACCTTCAGTACTTTTTTATGCGACCTTTCTGTCCAACTTTAACAATGATAGTGTGGTCTGTAGCATTGTGATTCTCCATAGGCTCCCACTAGAAAATATATGACATATAACTGTTCAGGAGCCTTGGTAATGACAACACATGGGCTACTGTGTAAATCTGTTATTATATTGACATTTAATATGAATGTTTTGTTACAGAGTAATAAGTCTCCTCCTTTAGTGCGTCTGCAAGTGAGTTCAGTTAAAGTGTATGGCACCTCATGGTATTATTTTATCTTACAGCATAGGGACAAATTAAAGTAAAAACCTGAATGTAAGAGTGGAGAAATTATTAAATGTAAGTGCTTCAGTGCAGCAGGGTTCACTGAATGGTTTGAGTTTGAAAGGATGTGAATAAACGGCAGATCTCAACCCTGTGGAAGATTTTGGACCAAATCAATGCTCTCCACCACCATCTCCATAACACCGAATAATATAATATAAACTTTCATCTTCAGATCTCTTTGGCAGTGTTTGTGACTGTCTCTGATGTTCTTTTGTTACGTCTGGCTTAATTTGTGTTTCTTCCTATCTGCTGCACTCAGGTCTCTCTTGCAAAAGAGATCTTGATCTCAGTGAGATTAAATAAAGGTTGTTTATATAAATGAGGGAATATATGAATGATGTTTATCCCTCCAACAGAGTTCCCTCCAACAGAGTTCCAAAGACTTGGCAAAGAGCACTAAAGCTGTTCTGGAGGCTCGTGGTGGCCTGACCCCATACTAAGACACTTCATGTTTGTTTTTCTTTTAGTTTGTCCCCCATCTGTATATGTTGGACTTTCATTGCATCGTTAAAATAATGCCCACCCACCCTCTGGATAGTTTACATTCTGTAAACAGTAGGCCTATAGCGCGCCTCTCTTCTTTCTCTCCCGCTCTGTTGGAGGCTGTAATTCAATGCTCATCTCCGGACGCTCGATCCTGTCCAAGCACATTCCCTCCGTACCAGCACGGCGCTGCATGACGGCACCTAGAGCTGAGCTGCAGGCTGCACAACATCAACAGACAGTAATGAGCTATAACAGCATAGTAACAATCAGTGTTGGAGGAAGTTTTAAGATCATTTACTAAGTTTAAAATAACTAATATTGTAAAATAACTAATAGGCCTACTGTAAAAATACAGTTAAAGGCCTGCATTTGGCAAATCTTTAGTCAAAGTAAAAGTAGGTATAATCAGGAAAATGTACTTAAAGTATTAAAAGTAAAAGTACTCAATATTAAAAAAAATGTCACCTGTGACTGCTATGTGACTATAACAGTAGTAGAGTATTGTTACTTATGCATTAATATAAAAGCAGGATTTTACTGTTGTAGTTGGTAAAGGTGGAGCAAATGTTTAACTTGTTTGTATAAGACTGTAACAAATTATTATTTACATTATGGATTCATCTGCTGGCTATTTTCTCCATTTATTCTCCAATCGATTGATTGTTTGGTTTGTATAAGAAAATAGTGAGAAATGCCGTCACTATTACCCAGAGCCCAAACTGACACCTTCACAATGTTTGTTTTGTCCAACCAATAGTCCAAGCTTCAAAATTATTACACTTAAAATAATTAAAAGGACAAACAGTTAACCTTCATATTAGTGAAGCTTGAAATCATGAAAAGTTTTTTCATGAATAACGATTATCAAAATAGTTGCCAGTTAATTTTTCTGTCAATTGGCAAATTGATAAATTGACAAATCGTTTCAGCTGCCCTTGTTTATACTGTTGGGTAGTTTAATTTATAACAAAACATCATATTAATTTATAAAATAATTAGTAACTAAAGCTGTCAAATAATTGTAGTGAAGTAGAAAGTATAAGATTTTCCTCTGAAATATAGTGGAGTAGAAGTAGAAAGTGACGTGAAAAGAAAAAACTCAAGTAAAGTAAAGTAGCCTATCTCAAATTTGTACTCGGGTACAGGAATTGAATAATTGTACTTAGTTAAATTCCTCAGTTGATAACGATACCATATGCTCAGATGAACTTATAATGAACCAAAGACTCCCAATAAAAATCGACTTCATGTAGCCAGGAATAGCGACAATAATCCCCTCAGCCTAAGACAATAAAAATCTCTTCTCCAAAGAATATTTGTATTTAAAAAATAGTAAAAAGTGACATTTGAACAACAGGGAATGTATGTATGTTGTACACTTCAGACACAGACACAAACTGAAATGATATGTTGCTTTTTCTGCAAAGTCGATGACTGATGTTGGACAGTTTCAGCCTCAAAGCAATTTAATTTGTTATAATTCTTGTTGCTTTCAAAAAGTGATGGGGACATGTCCCCAGCGTCCCCAGTGTAAATGACACCTATGCACCTATCATCTTGGCGTGTGATGTCACTGTGTTGCACATATTGTCCTCTTTAAGGAACAACAGAATACAACAAAGTGGCACCTGTGATGTGGGAGACACACTCGCTCCTGTGGTTTCACTGTAGGGAAGTTAATACTGATTTCTTTCTCTGTCTGTTTCTGCCTCTCTCAGCAGAGATTCAGAGTTGCCTGGTGAGTTCAGGGGATGTCGGCTGTGGGACTTTTCAGTGTTTCAACAACAACTCCTGTGAGATCCAAGGCCTGCATCAGATCTGTCTCACTCTGCTGCACAACGCCGGACGCTACGACTCACAGGTGGGGCGCAGCACCTCTTGTCACACGCTCAGACACTTAAAAAAGACACTTTTCAAAAGCAATTTGTTTGCCATTTGTCCTCTTTTGCACTGATTGACTGTCTTGAACCCACGCCCAACAGCAATTAAGGGCAGGCTGGGATAGGACACATTTGGATACATGTTTTTATTTCACATAATCCCGTCCGTCATTACAGTCATTTGTGAGGAATGTTAGTTGTATAAGGAGCAGTGTATAGTTATGCATGGTAGCACTGGTTACAGAACAAACTGAGAGGGGAACTGAAATGAGAGAGGGAACAGCTTGTCTACTTTACTAGAATAGAAGCGCATGCAAGAGTGATGCAAGTCTAATGTGTCTCCAGTATGAACAGGGACAGTGATGTCCATTAAGGATCTGCGAGGTTAGGATTAGACAGTAACAGGCAAGACTACGGTTTCATTCTAATGTGACCGTACTTCTAAGAAGTATGTTTTTACTTTTAACGTTTTAAGAGAAAGGGCTGAGTATCGCTCTTACTACAGACCCATGCACAGCTAGACAGTTACAGCTGCTAAGCTGTGATTACACTCCAAAATGAATGCAAATTTTTCTCTGCGGGATGGGTAAATACGTAACGGATTGCTAACACATTAGGTATTACAAGTTAAAGATGTGATGTTGGAGGTTTTCAGCTTGTTGTGGTGTTCCTCTGCCACAAGTGGTAAGAAAGCAGCTTCTTTTGTTTGAAGAATGCAGCTTTGATTGCAGCAGATACATTAAAGGATAGATACTTTTTTTAAAGTCTGCTTCAATTGTAGTGGTTACTATAATTTTATTTTATTTTTTTTTATAGCAACCAAAGGTCTTGTACAGCATGTGTGTTATATTAGGATAGACTGATCCATCCTAAACCAATATTTTGATGTATTACTGTGAACACAATAAAATAAAAGAATGTCTTCTTATGTCCAATTTAGGAATTTTACATAGGAAGGGACAGAATTAGGAAGTTGACACACATCCCAGGCCAGATTTGACATGTGATATATGTGATTGCTCAATAGCTTTGCTAACGGAGCCATCAGAAATGTCCCACTAATTCTTCCTCCTCCTCCTCCTCCTCCTCCTCCTCCTCCCAGGGCAAGTCATTTGTGAAGGATGCGTTGCGGTGCATGGCGCTGGGACTGCGGCAGCGCTTTAGCTGCGTAAGCCGCCGGTGCTCGGCTGTAAAAGAGATGGTGTTCTCTCTCCAGAAAGAGTGCTACTCCAAACACCAGCTCTGCTCGGCGCTACGGGGCCACTTGGACACCATGGGAAACCTGGTCCAGTTCCAACTGATGTTTCCCCTTGGGTGAGAGAGACACACATGTAGACTAACAAATAATCAGGGAGCTTTAAAAAAAAAAGAAAAAAAAAAGGCATCAGTGAAACCTTCCTCTGTGAAAGATGCAGACAATCTCTGTTTGTGAAATGTTACATCAGGGACTAAAGCTACTTTACAGAGGTCATAATTTGCTTATTTTCAGGCTCATCATTTTATTTAGCGGTTGTACTAGAACAGGTTTAATTTTCCAAAAACACCATATTTTTCACACTGCACATTGCTGCAGCACCCCTTTTCACCTTATGTGTTGAACGCTCCGTTTTAGCTACAGAGTGAAACATCTCACTTCTATAATATCTTTGTTGGGTGTTGCACATGCGCAATACCTATGCCGCCTTCCAGACCAGTCGGAAGTGGGAAATTTCCAAGGTGAAATATACGCCTTCCAACCTCAAAGCGTTTCAGTTGCATGGTGGTGCGTGACGCCAAATGCAAACAATAAACATGGCTGACCACGACAAACTTCTTTGGCAAGTTTATGCACAGTTAAGCCCTCAGCAGTGCACTTGGTATAAATTAAAATGATGCCCATTTTATTAAAAACAAGCAATAAATTACTCATTACTTGAAAAGTTAGTGGTTAACTATGTATCTTTCTAGCTTACATCAGTTGGTAATCCTCAAAAGTCAGCTAAAGTTGAAGGCTATATTTTCAAATGTTTTCACATTTCTGGGAATTTTTAACATTTTCCTGAATAACTTTTGGGTAGAGAAGATGACTTTCAGAGATTGTTTCCTGTAACCAGCTACCTAATAACATTGACAAAATGAAGAACAAGTTTTACTATTTGATACTATAGTATCAATTAAATTTATACTACTTTGCCTTTTAGTTTGTGGTTTACCATTTACAATGTGTGCTTCCATGGGAGCTGCCATTGTTGTGTGACGTCTTTCGGCTGCTACTCCTGAAGTCGGGATACATATTTTTTCTCAAGTAGGAAATCCAACTTCAGGTGGTGTTCCATGGTACTTTTTCTAGTTGGAGGTTGGAAAATTCCCAGTTCCAAGTTGCCTGGAACGCAGCACTAGTTAAGGAATACTAGCCAATCACAAGCAGAGTAGAGCAGGTATGACAAGCAAGCTAGGGTAATCCAAAACAAAGGCTTCAGCCAGTGAGCACAGCTTCACTTCAGCTGCAATGTTCCCGAACCAGCAACACAACATAGACTGGAGCGAGAGTTTCAAAATGGTAACATTTTAACTGTGCACTGTCTCTACATCACAGTGACAACTTTGTCCACTGACTGCCTCGAGGGTATCTAACTTTGGTGGGGAGGGTGGGGATGAGGGGAGGCAGCAGGCCGATGTCTTGTCACTGTGTGCTGCAGCTCAGTGTGTTTCTCCACCAGTGTTTTAAGGGCATGTCTGACTAGCTGCTAGGCGAGCATTATGACGCCTGTTACAAAGTGACGCAGATAGTTTTCAGGCAGTTCAGGGCGAGGTGTTTTCTGTGTGAGATTGTAACTCCCTTAGAGGTGGACTTTGCAAACCTATTTCATGCACACAAAAAAGGTATATAACACAATAAACGCAAAGGGGATAAGCCAAAAAGTTACCTCTTTAAAGCAAGAGTTTTGAATGGAGAAATCACACAATCCTTCTCTAACAAAGTTGCAATCATAAACAATGAAATGCACCGTTACTAAAATAATACACTCCTGTTGCAGACTTGGTCTGGTATGACCAGTTGCTTACGGTGGCTAATGTTAGAAAACGTTACACAGACAATGCTGTTACTTGCATTATTTAAAATAATAGTCTGCTGGGTTAATAACCATCCTCCACTTGGCTTACTGTTATTCTGCATTTCACAGATAAATATTTCAGTGGTTTTATCACAAAAGTAAAACACGAAGTCAACGGCATACCTCACCGGGAGACATGTTTGCTGGTTCCTACACTGGCCTTTTTCACATTTGATGAAGAGTTCGCAATATACATGTATATAGTATATATGCAGTAAGTATATATGCAGGCCTAATATTATCAGTTACAATGAGCCTTAAAAGAGAAAACACATGGTTTTCTTTGGCTAATTAAACGCTTTATTATAATTTCACAAAATACAATGTTTGTATTTTAAATGGAAGTATGTGTAAAAAGTAGCCATTTTGAAAATAAATGAAAAGCAGGCGAGATGGAAGCCCTGGAAGGCAATAGAGAAAAAAAAAATCTAAAAAGTCTGATCTAAATTGTTTTCTCTCCAGTGTGAATGACTTACGAATAGGTGAAAGGTTTTGCCAGGATAATCTTTCTACATTTTTTGCAGTATTTCTTCTGTCTCAACAGACCATACGTGGAGCTGATGAACTTCTTGTTGAACTGTGGGGACGAGGTCCGGTTGTGGGTTGGACGACGGCTGCGCGGGCAGTGCGAACAACACTGGGGGGCGCTGTGCAGCAGCTTTGGCAGCACCTGTTTTCTTAGCCAATCAGACGCTCCACAGCACACCACCGTCCCACCACCAACCGCGACCTGGACTATCACCACTCAAGGAGCCCTGCAGCAGCCAACCAAAGCAACCGAAGTAGAGGACAGGAGCGGGCTCAGTCAGGTCCACAACGCCACAGAATCTGGTCTACCAGAGAAATCCAATGTTACTGCTTCATAAACAGTCAGACGAGTTACACAGAGGTGCAGACAGGGTACGCAAATATCATGCACTTATTACTATTATATCGGTAGAATGAGTAAAAGTAGTTGTAGTAGTTTCATCAGACTATTCAGTGCAGTATTGCTGGCGAAAGCAATGCAACATAACGTATTTAATCTGTTGGGTATTTGTACTATATTGTTTTTTTCTTTACATTTTACTTTGTCAAAGATGAAAACCAATTATCTACCTCACTTCAACATCACAGTAAACCACAGTGGCAGCATCCTTCAGCAAAGGGTGTGGACGCACGCGAGTAAACACTACAGGGAAGTTGTCTCTAGCTCAAGCACAGCTGATGTCTGTTTTTGTATTTATGAGGATTGTTATATTATGCACACTATCAAACGTTATCTTGTAGACAGTGAGGGTGCAGTCTGCAGGAAGGGAAGCACTCTTTGGTTAAGACGTCTTATAAATATATATTTTTGATGCTCCACTTGAACGATCACATTTCATACAGACCCCAGGTTTCAAGCTATGTTTTTTAAGTTTTTATTTAAATGAATGTAAAAACACATTTGTAAGCATTTTTGATTTAAATTAAATAAACTACAATGATGTCAGTGGAGAGAGGTGTGTTAAGAAAAAAAATTCTATCTGAACACAGTTCACTGATTAAACATGTAGGATATCCTGCCATCTACTGGCGCATCTGTGGCAATGCTGCACAACAATGCATCTCTCAATAGGTTGCAAATATTAAACTTTAATATAGAAAACAGATACAGTCACATAGTCTCTGACTCAACATGGCAGATGCACTTCACAAGAATTTACTGGGTTTCTGGTTTCAGTAGTCTGGAGGTCTGATTGGAAAGAAGAAAGGCACACGGTAAACTCGTCAAAAACTGTAACAGCGTCTTTGTAATAACTTTCTGTCACACACACACACACCGATTGTAATTTGACAAATGTAAACAATTGGAGAGTTGCAGCATACTACGGCCTCGACCCTGGTTAGTTCTGAATGCCAGAGGAAGTATTAAGGCCTCAGTATGCTTCAAAGTGCTTTTCTAAAACAGTCAAGCCCACTTCATGTACAAGTGTGAAAGTAAGCCAGATTTTAACGTCTCTCAGTGCACTTCTCTTCTTTTGGCGTCACTTTTCATGCAGCACCATCAATACCTTTGAAGAGAGACTGTGTGAAAGTGTGTGCACTCTTATCCTGATTTGTATGAATCATTGCATCGACACCATGCAGTCACTCAAAAGCTGTAGAGTTCTTAGAGAGAGAGAGATCAGGGAGGGGGTGTGTAGCAGCCAGGAGCAAGCTACGACAGTAGGTTTTTCTTCCCGGTGGCCATTTGCAAAAAGTAGAAAAACTATGAATAGGGCTGAACAATGCATTGTACAAACTTAGTTTTGAAGCATGCTGAGGTTTTAAACCTATCACTGTTGTTACATGAAACCTAATGCAAGTTTACTCTTTTTACTTTCGTCTGGAGTATTAAGTGCCTTCCTGCCCATTTTATAAACCCACATATTGTATATTGTTCAAGCTAAAAATGAGGGTGCTAAACAAGATGAAACACCTGACACCGCCTCTATGTGGGGCAGTCCAGTCTCAAGTCTCCATGCAGTCCATGCTTCCACTCCTGCAGAAAACATTCCTCCTGGAGGCTGGGTGTGTGCTGCCATGAACTAGCAGCCAGTTGGCTAAATGAAGGGGAAGAGACGTTTCTTGAGGATGTAGAGGACGGTGGCGAAGAAGAGGGCAAAAGCCAGGAAGATGAGCAGCTTGTCTGTCAGCTCCCGTCGGTTGTACTTCAGGATGAGTTTCCTTCCCAGGTGGATGGTTCCCGTCATGTTTTTAAACTCCTCATTGGTTTCCTGCACTGTCCTGGAGGAGGTGACTGTGGTGAGGAAGAGTAGAGGTATTAAAGGTTTAAGAGGGAAGATGATGGGTTAGGAAGTGTTGATGGGAGAAAGAAAAACAAAAGGACTTTCATGGGGAAGAACACAAGATTCCCATAAGATTATATTTTTTTTTATTGGATAATGACCGTGGCAGTGACCGACAGGAAAGGTGGGAGAGGATGACATGCAGCAATGGTACACACTGTACCAGGTGAACTACCAGGGCGTCCCTTCAATTGGATTTTGTAGACAAACAACCCTGACAAAAAGTACACAAACACATGGACCAAACAGATGTTTTGTTTTACCCAGCGTGCCGATAGTGTCCTCGGTCTGCTTCACCTGCTCAGACATCATCCTGCTGATAGACATCAGACTCTCTGTGATGTTGCTACTGGTTTCCACTAGGCTTTCTTTGGTCACCTTCCTGAGACAAAAAACACACACAAAGCAGAACAGGTGATGCACGGTCGCAGTTTACCAGTTTAGTGAAAACAGCTCTTCAATCCAGTCAAGTAGAAACAACTTGTTTTATTTTGTTATCATTCTGTATGTACAAGTGGACGTTTGTTGGAATGCAAGAAATCTGTGTTTCGCCTGGGAATCTGTGTTTCTGTTTAAAGCATCCTGTTTCTATGAGCAGAGCAAACTATATTTCAGAAACAGCTGAAAATGGCAGCTTTCAAAATATGGATTAGGATGCTTTTATAGTAATAATGAGACCGTACCAGTGTTGTACGCTATACAAAGGCTAACCAGCCAAGACAGAATCACTTGTAACAGTTTGTGCCGTCTTCGTGTACCTTTTCTTTTTGCTTATTGTTTTAACTGACTGATGTTAATGAGTTACCTATCAGGTTCCTTCTCTGCTTCTTCAGTTGTCAAACTCAGTATCAGTAAACGCAGAGTTATAAAACTCAGACATACACTTAGATTACAGGAGAGTTTGCCTAAAACTGTAGGTAACTGTGGCTGTAATTAGTACTACTGGGATGGGGGTGAAAAAGTGCCGACATATGAGCTACAGACGGGATTAAAATCACAGATTCTCCCGCTAGACAAGTATATCCCATCTGAATGGGGTTTGGATGAACAAAAAAACAAATCACCTGCCAGTTCAATTTACAGTTGTATGAAGCTGACCATTTGAGAGCCTCAGCAGAAATGTACTCACCTCTGTCTGATGCTCTGGTTTTCTCCTCTGTGCAGCAGCTCATCCTTCTCCGTGTTGTCTATGGCTAGTTTACATGCCAGGTTGGATTTCCTCCACGCGGTCTGGTTACTGCAATCCACAGAAGAAATAACAACTTTGAAAACTGTAGTGTCTGTTTTATATCTCTTCGTCTCAGCTCGTCTGTTTAACCCCATCAACCCCAATGGGCTACTTTCATTTATCAGCATCTCGAATGTCTTATTAGCTCCAAATATGGATGCATTTTATTTTCAGGATAAGGTATTAATGGATTGATTATGTAAATAAAGTCAATGATTTAAGGGGAAAATTAAGAAAATACCATATGTCTGTGTTTATGTCAACACACCTCTGCATTTGCCTTCGGTGGCTCTCTGTCTCTGCCTGGATGGCCAGTCCATCCGACTCTCTGTCCTGCTCTCTGGCCATCTGCTCCAGGTCCTGTCAACAACAAAAACATGTCGAATAAAAACAATTCGCGGTTTTTAAGCAAGAAACCTGTCAGGTGGTCTCACCTGTATCCTGAGTCTGAGCTTGTTGAACTTCTCTTTGACCTGAGAGTTGAGATCCATGAGAGCTGACTGAGGTCCAGGACAATCCCTGATGTCCTGCAGGTAACACACATACACACCTGTTATGTATTCACGATTTTATTGGACGAGATTTACCTTCTCTCTGAGCAAATCTAACACTAAAATTAACTAAACATTTCCCCCCATTAAATCACATATCAACATCAAATTAATAAAGTATATGTATGTTGTCTGGTAGTGACATATATTCACACGCCGCGAGGTACTGAAGAATATGATTATTATTCAGTTACAAATCATTTAAAGTTAATATTAACTCCATGTTCCGTTTAGGTGAACGCTTTCAAATCTTCATCGATCTGACGCGGACATAAGCGTGAATAAAACCATTAGCGTGAATCGAAAGAAACAAAGTTAAAGTTATTATCATTACAACAACGAACAGAGAAGTTCCTTATTCTTACGGTGTCTCTTTTGTCTTAGCTTTGGTGTTGTGTATGAAAAACTGGTTGCGTGATGTCTTCACGGACACCTCCCAAGAGCAAAACCAACACCAACAGGAGCTAACTAAATCAATTAAAAGACAAACCACGCGTTTTCAGTTCTTACCTGAATGAGAGCCTTAATTTCTAGGTCATATTTAATAATTTCTTGTCCACAAATTCGGACGTGGACATCCGCAGAAGACGCCATATTTGTTTTTGTATGGCAAGCTGGACGCCCAAAAGACAATGCTCTGCTGAAGGCGAAGCAATAATTGTGACCAATACTTTCTAATAACTTTTTACTTTAGAGATTAATACGAAAAATTCAACTAATATATATTTCTGTATGTATAGCGACATTGTAGATTATAGTTAAAACGTTATCAGCTACAACATTAGTAACACTTATATATTAATATATATTAATATAATTTTAATACAGTAATATATTTATTACTTTGAAATGGGCCATTTTGCATAATGAGTACTTTTATTTTTGGTAATTTAAGTAAATTTTAATGATAATACTTTTGTACTTTTACTTGAGTAAAATTAAATTAAATAAAATTCAGGACAGTATTCAGGAGAGTATTTCTACAATGTGGTATTGCTACTTTTACTATTTTAAGTAAAACATCTAAATTCTTTTTAAAAATAGAATAAAGCTCCAGAGCTTCACTTAACAGGTAAGAGTGACAAATCATTTATTTGTAATGTTGCTTTTCCCATTCTCAAAATATATAATTTTAGGGGGAAAAACTATTCTTGAAATGTTTTTCCGATTTGTGCTGGGGAGCATTTTTGTAGGTTACTTTGTAAGTGATCAAACTTGCATGTTCCAGTACTTATCAACACGATGTCAGTTTGTAAAAACAGAACCACCAATGGGCTAGCAAGAGTTTATGGAGTTAAATTTACTTAAAACTTAAAAAGTAGTACGTAATTCACAGAAAGCCACAATGAAGCAATTAATCAGCTTAAACTTAACATTAATACCTTTTACTTGCCTCCCTTCACAGAGGTCAGATCAGCTAGAAATGAGATAGGCTACAACATGCAGAGCATGATGGTATATACAGTATATACTGATTGAATAATGCCTGAACACTGACTCACTGCAAAAGGATGTAGAATCATTTTACACAAGACAATCAACAGTTTCCTTACTTACAGTAAATCACATTGGGGTACAACAGGGAAAAAACGCAACTGGGCTAACAAATATTTCTAGTTTTTTAGCCAAGTTTTTCCAGGAGTAGATGAAAATAGTCTACAATGCCGGTGTGATTCCACAAACATACAGATATGCCCAAAGCTGGAGTTGATAAATAGACTATACATAAGGTAGGATAGTTTGCACTTGAGACAGTTTGAAGCCCAGAGATAAATACTGCATTAGAAGTAAGGTCAAACAAGTATCTTTTAATATCTTACAATATCGTCTATGTTTGTGATTTTTGTTACTTATATATTCCATGTTTACTATTTTTTAATTATCTTTTTATTTTAGCAACTGGAAAATGTGCACTTATATGTTTTCATCTACATTGATGTATGGTCAGTTGTGTGGAAATGAATATTTCCTGTTTAATTCAGTTGATGATAATTCTTGTTTACTATCACATATTATAGCTCTTAGTTGTAAATAAAGTTCAATAAATATTGTACCTTAAAGTACTTCCACAGTGGCCTCTCAAACATACGTGGCTTATATGTTTGAACATTTATATAAATCAGTATGTACACTTGAGTCAGGATGGGGTGCTAATGGTTTTATTATTTTGATATTAAAATCAATAAACATAATCAGACTATTGTGGTTACAAGCAGAGCTGTGGTACCAACTCCTGGCTGATACAACAGAGAAAGAATGATTTAAAAAAACAAGAAAGAAAGAAAGAGAGGCACAATAACACAACAGAGATTCAGGGCAGGTGTCCGCAGGATGTCGAGCAGCCAGAGACAAAAACTGTCAGAAGCTCTGAAACAGAATGAGTTGTTACAGTACAAACAAAAACAAACAAAAAAACAAAAACAAAAAACCCCACATCTTTTAGATTTCCATGCCTGTGCATAAAGCCACCCACTGTGCCTCCAAGAAAAGAAAAAAAACAAAAAGTATAAACCCAGCACAACATTTATTACACAACATAAATATAACAACTGTCAAGATATTGTATTCGAACAGGCATATATGTGAACTACAAATATAGACGTCATTGCTAAAGAGAGGATCAAGTTAGTTTCAGCAGGATACACTTTCTGCAGGATTTGCTTCTTTATGAAATTATAATCACCAAGAGACCTATTATAGAGCACTTAGCAATGAAGTACAGCCTTCCTACTGAGACTGGGGAGAGGAACGCACACAGGACTAACTACAGAAAGATCCCATGCTGTTGATCTAATCAAATAAGTTACCATACAAGACCAGAAGCTTCATAACAATGGCATGTAGTCGTGGAGCTCAGGATGACCGATACCACCCACATCCTCTACATGTTTTCTTATTGTCTTGAAATTGAAAAACAAACAAAAAAAAGAATAAAAAAAGAAAACAACCCCAGAACAGATGCTTTAGGATAAACTCTTTTTGTTAAATATCTCTCGCTCCATGCATTTTGGCAAGTCTGGAGGGAGATGTAAATCATTGCAGTGTTGGATGATGAGTTGGACGTGTGTAGATATGGAAAAGAGGGGTTTTGTTTTTAATCAACTAGGATGGGTTGTTGTCGTTTGCTTTAATAATATCAGTCTGCAGAAGAGGAAACAAACTCTCCTCTCATCACTCATTGCAGGGGAGGGTGAGGGGTCTCTGCCCACCAGCCTTTAGTGACCCCTGGCTAATCTCAGGGGTTCCCTGACGAGACAACTGCGAACCAAAGCCCTTCTGAAAAAAAAAACAACAAAAAAAGCACCCAGAAGGAGCAAAACATCTCTGTCGCAGTGGTAAAGTTTTCCCAGAAAACTGAACAATTTTTTTTTAATTTTCCCCACCAAAATTAGAGAGAGCAGACGAGCCAACTCCTCCCGGAGCCGTGACAAAAGAAGGATCGTGTCAAGGTGAGGTTCTCTTTGCTGACTCAATGAGCCGGTTTTAGGGCTCTATCGCCCCTTCTAACCGCGTCAAAACATCCAATGACAGAACGCTTTAAGGGCTTCACAGACAACGATGACTCAGAGTCACAATGAAACTGCAGATCTGAGAGCATCGTGTTTCCTTTAAGTGACATTAAGGCAGAACATCATGCAGAGAAAGTATAAAGTATGAGGATACTAAAGGGCAGGAAGGCAAGAACAGAAATGACTGAAGACACTATGTGTAGTATTTCTATGGGTTGTTTTTTTTTTGTTAATTTATTTAATTGTACCATAATCAAATTATTCTGATGACACACTGTGAGTTTTGTTTATGGACAAATCTGGCGAAAATCGGTGCAGGCTATTTTTCAGGTTGTAAATATCTTTGGCCACACTAAAGAAATCGACAAACTGCCCTGTTCATCTTTCTCTTATGATGTAAAATCACAGCCAACAACCGGAGTCTCCGCTGGTTACAACAGGACTCCAGGAAGTCACTGCCCCACGCCAAGAAATAGTCTAGTACATAACACCTGTAAAACATTTTAACAATCAAACAAATTAGATATAATGTGTTTATAAGCATTATTTGATGATTGTCTTCATAACCATTTGCCATAGAGTGGCAAGATTGTACAACAATCTTATTTATGGTACATGATGAGGTCATCTTAATGACATGATGAGTAAATCTAATAAAATTTTTATGTAAAATGTTTGTCTACAATTTGTATACAAGGACACAGGGACTTTCAGTTTCATTGTGACTCTGGTTCATGTGAAGAGTCTCATGTGAAGTCTGGGACTCATGGGGATACCTGCTTCAGTGGAAAAGCTATAAAGTCTGGTTTAAACAAACTGTCTCCTTCACATATTCATTTACAGGACGAAACAAATAAATATCAAAGAAATGGTATGAACACTGGGATCAGAGGAAATAAAGTCAATAAAATAAAATTTAGGAAAAACAAATTCAAACGTGCAACATTTGACAGAGTCAGAGCATAAATATTAAACCATAATATTAATTTTTTTTTAAAGGTTTGAACACACAAGTATTCATGATCTTTCTGGATCCTGGACGACAAGTGTCTCCCTCCAAAAAAGTCTAACTAAGGAAGTAGAACAACAGGAAAAGCTCCACCAGACACTCGCGTCTGTACAATCCTACTGAGGAAGACTAGTCTACATTCATCAGCAAAGCAGCAACAGCAGAGTTATACCTCGCTATGTCAGCATACAGCAGTGCGGCAGTCAGAAACACGAGACTGACCAGAGTCATCAACAGAAGGAATTGAATGGCTAAGACAGCTTTTTAACTCTGCCATGTTAGCACCCAGCCACAGACAGATTAGCACCACAGTTTACCTCCATGCTCAGTTTGTCGCTTCATTCGCAACCCGTGACTCAGTGTCAACACTGACTTCAAGGAGGGTCTGGCACTTCATAATAGCAAAGTTAAGAAACGGAAAGTTCTGTTTTCTGCTTTTTTTCCTTTTTTTTTTTTCTTTCTCAAAAAAAAAAAAAAGATCTCAAGAGGCAACAACCACAGAAGAAGAATACATTGTAACTGACTATAGGTAAAAAGCAGGCCCAAGTCTCCCGCTGCCTCAAACACAGTGGAAGTTTGCTCATCTCTACACAGACACACCAGCGGTGATAGCAGCAGCAGCAGCAGCAGCAGCCGATACAGAAAACACAATAACGTGGCGTAGTGGGCAGAGAAAGAGTTAAAAACAGAACCAGGTTTCCCAAAACATCATCAATTCAGTTTACAAGCATTTATGCTCTTCTTCTGTAATACTTTAAAAGGGAAATCCTATACAGAGTTCGCCTTTCTGCTGTTAAAGGCTGATTGTTATACAAAATGTATTGATTTAGGGTTAAAATTAGGTTTCTTTCATTTCATTTTTTGTACTTTCAAGTTTAGGTTTTGGGAAACCCAGCCCCTTGTTCCTGCAGGGAAACCCCCTCCAGACTGACAGAAGGTGCAGACTTGTGTTCTCATATATTTGATTAAGGCACCTGGTTCAGCAGGCATCATATTCAAAGTAATGTTTTTTTTCCTTGTGTATGTAAAAACCAAGTGCAAGGTGAGTAACACTGTTGGTTTTTTGACTGTCATAGGAAAAAAGGTGTGAAAGATAACCGGGGTGTGTGGTAATAATATACTGTAATTGTGTCACGGACACTCTAAACCAAAATCTAAAGTCTTATTGTGCTCATTCAATAGCAGCAAGTATGAAATCATTCAACTGAGAGTACAGTGAGTGAACGACGATGGAGACGCTTTCTGATGATTGGCCAAATTATTTCCCAATCTGCGAAGAACTCCAGACGTCACTCGATTCTCTCTCTCAGTGCTATGCAGGGAATAGGCATGCAGAAACATCATTCCCACTGCCATTTTTGTTTTGTCACAGAGTACATTTCTGTATGTATCTACTTTACAAAATGTGGAGGGCAGTAAGCAAACAGCCTCTGAAGAAGAGGTGTTTTTACAAGCAACGAGGGCAGCCCACATAGGATCAAACAAGACAAGAAACATTCAAAATGCCTCCATAGAAACTCAAAGCCAGACTCTGAGATCTGATATCACATCGAGCAGGAGGTGAACACTTATCATACAGATCCGTAATTTCCTAATGACCTCCTAAGAAGTTTACTGGAAACAACTACTGTGTGTATTTTGGTACTAATTATATAGAAAATATAAATATCCTTGAAAGAACTGCTGAATATTGACATATTTTCACTGATAAAGTTGTTGTTGGTGAACATGTTAGCAAACAGTCTGATTAATTTGGCGTCTAGTGAATGAAAGTCCAATATTCACTATTCTTTAAGCTCCGTTTTTTGGGATCCACCACCTCTCCTGAGGGAAATATCTTTCACCAGCTACCATTTTCGTTTTCTGTCTGTCGTTTGGTTCTGGACAGGTGGGTGTTTTTTCTACAAAGAAATACTGATTAGTGCAGCTTTTAATTTTAGGTTTGCCTGTAGACAAATTATATATTTTTGCACTTGACTAAAATTGGAAATGATTAACTAGAAGTGTATCAACGAAACTGTCTGTCAAATGGTTGCCTCTTATAATGAAATTTCACTTATTTAATTCAACAAAAAATATTTTACTATTTTATTTTATTACACTAGTCCTAATACACCAGAATATGTGCATTTATTTTACAGTTCTGGTGAACATTTTGTACCTCCCAAATGGAATAAAGATCCTTTAGGCAGTGATACCAAATCCATGAGTCTGACTTTTACAAAAGAAATAATGGTATGTTTAACAATAACGATCATACAGGTCATTAATACAGAAATCGCCATTCTGTTGTTGTTTAGAGCAAGAATCAGTGTGAATCTTCCTCTGATTGGTCCAACAGAGACAGTTAAAATCAATGAAAAGGATCGCGGGGGGGGGTCTGGTCAGATGACAGTTACTGACAACAATAATCATATGGACAGTGCTATTTGTGAGTAAATCTGACTACAGATGCCATTTTATTTCTTGGACTATTTCTTGAATAATGACAAGTAATCAGCACCATGTTACAAACCCCACTTGGATCACGGACAAGAAAATGTAGATTGTGTATGTTTGAATACCGATTTGGAGAAAGCGGAGAAACTGTGTGAATTCTTGTATGTGTGAAGTTTTTTTTTTTTTTTCAGTTTATGTTGAGCATTGCACTATATTGATTGACATTGATAATTCATAACACACACACACACACAGAATATTTTGTACAGAGTAAAGAATGGCGACAATAATTGGAATACATAAATATATTTTCTTTAGATTTTATATGTCATCACATACGTCAGATAGAAGAACGATATTACCCTGATTTGCTGAAGAAGAGCTTTATGGATCACTTAGCTTTTATTGGATAAGAGTAGCACAAAATTACACACTCTATTAGCTTAACATCTGACTGTATAGGACTTATGTCATCAGAAATAAAAAAATAATAAAGGAATAGTTTTACTGGCGTGGATTTTCGCTCGTTTCCTTGACTGTTAAAATGCCACAGAGTCTCCTGGTTTGAATGTAAAGTTGCACAGCTTGCACCTATCATGTTAAATGTAAAAACCTGTGAGGACTCTTTCTTGAACCAGCCTCGTGATCGACAACAAAACACACATGTCTCTCTTGTCAGACAATTCTCCGTCAACCAGCGGCCCTTCTAACCACTGTTGACCCCCTACCAGACTTCGGCCAAATCATAGCTGAAAAGAAACGCTTAATATCGTCCCAAAAGACACAACTGAGCTCAATTTTTCAGATATGTTTCACCACGTCTGCTGTTTCAGTCAAGGTTGTTTTGAGCCTATCAGGCTGAATGGTTTTGTTGTTGTTGTTGTTGTTGTTGTTGTTGACCGTATAATGGCAGAACAATGTCATAAGCCTCGGGCACCTTGCCAATGACACGTCTGCCATGTTATTTTTATTTGTGTGTAAGTGAAAGGTTATTTAAGAAGGCAATAAGTGTCCAGATTGAGTCTCCATTTGTAATTGGCTTGCCATACAGTACAGTGATATAGTAACTTCCCCCAAGGCGGCCCGGAACAACATCTTTCAAACAGGCTCTTCCTGGCCGCCCCAGGCTAAACCTCTCCTCATTAAGTCACAAGTAGAAATCAGTTTACAAATGATAACAATATAGCTCTCTGGAGAAATGTGTCTACACTGTACATCACCCTGAAGAGGAAGCCAAAGCAGAATCAGTTTTTCCATAGGAAACCTCTACTGAAGGCAAATGAATCATGACACCACGGGGGTCAGCATCAGGATCAATGTAGGGGCCCTGGAATCAAAACCCTCTGTTTTTTTTTTTGTTTTGTTTTTTAAAACCACACTGGGCTTCCCAAAGCCAAGAAATGATACGCTCTCATACAACACCTCATATCATTACATGGCTCCAGAAACATGTAGATCTAACCCTCGCCAGACCATACACCTATTCCTTGCTAGTTTATAGACCTAGCCAAGTCAGGTAATAGACCTATCCTAGCAAGTAGTCGTCAAGTACACTTGCAGCATTCACACCAGGCCTTTTAGCAGCAAATGGAAGAAAAAAATGCTCTTCTTTTTGTTTGTTTTTTTCTTTTTTGGACAAAGTGCTTTTGTTTTCAAACATATAAGATAGAGTATTCTATACATATATCTAACATTTATAAGATACATATTAACTATTTACAAAAATGAATCACTACTAAGAAAATAGCTATGGACGGTGGGGGAGAGCAAGTCATTAGGCTACAACTAGACTAAAAAGTCAAATAAGAATCATGGATACTCATCATTCTAGTTTTCAAAAAAGCACCAATTCTCCCTTTTTAGACAGAACAGAAAACAGTAAAAATATATATATATGTAGCACTAGCTGTTATTCAATCCCACGATACAGAAAGACTACGCCTCTGCATCACCATCATCATTCTGTGAAGGAGTTCTTTCTTCACTTGAAACTGACCTGAATTCAGCCTCGTCAAACATTCAGTTGTTTCTTTGTATTTGCCTGCTAGAATTTAAAAATTCCCGGGAATGGCAGCGTTTCCTCTGAGGACGCAGCAGGGAGGGAAGCATACAGGCGTCATGCAGTTTTTAACGGTTGGACACGCTGCCAATATGTGGCCTGGTCGTGGTAGCTCTGTGTGTTTTGATGATCAGAGTTATTCTTTGCGGCTGTGTCCGGCCAGGAAAGCTGTAAGCTGAGGACCAAAGGAAAGGCCAGGCAAATACAATTCAGCAATGAATCCTCGAAAGGCAGCAGAGCCAATCCCAGGAAGTAAAAAATTCAACCGACTTGCCGGTTAAGGAGTGAAATAAGATTGACTGGCTGCTCTTTCAGACCCTTTTCCTCTTTCCTCGCATATGCCTTCTCTCAAAAAATATTTTGAAACCAACAGGAAAGCTAGCAGGCAGCTAAAGTACAAAAATATAACACTTTTTTTGGGGGGGGGTTGGGTTTTTTTTCCTCTAACTTTCTTGACGCAAGGACAGGCTTTAGAAATGTGTCATGCTTTAAAATGAATCATTGTCATGAAAAGTGGCATTTCACCGTTGATATATATCATTAATGCTTCTATATACAGTACTTTAAAAACACAATTCTGTTAATATTTTGTTGATGAACTAAACCTTATCTACATACAGAAATAAAACAAGTGACGAAACATTTTGGTTATTGTTGCTGACATTTTGACACACAAGTAAAAATGTAACATAGCTTATCTACTAGCGCTCTTGGTTTTTGGCCTAGATAGCGCCATTAACACAAATAGCATGTGGAGGGAGGAATCAGTTCAGGAATGAAGTGCTTGCTAAGCAACAAATCTACTGGAGAAGCCCACAGATAGGGTCATTTTTAGATTTAAAAAACATGAATGAATGTTCCTTTTCTGTACAGAATTGGACCCGAGCTAATTTCACAGTTCTATGAAGTTCCCTGACCCTCCCACATTTCTTACATTCAATACGGCGTCAGGTAAGCTGTGCAAAACCTTACTTTAACTGGCAGGTCGCCATTTCGTTGCATGTGTCTTTGGTACAAAAAACAATCAAAATATAGTGTGCAAATATTTTTTGTGTAACTCTAAACGAAAATATCTCTTCCCCCCCCGCCCACGATCCCTAAAGACAGAGTACCAAAAACCAAAAGTAATCTATTGCAGAGCCCTCCTATGTACACAGACTCTGTGGCATCACGCAACGAGAGCTTCCATTTTCTTTTATGTACATTCAGAAGATCTTTAGACAACTGAAATACACTACAAACCCCACAGGTGTCGCCCTCCTCACTACCAATCTCCCTCAGTGTAAAGTAGTCCTCTCCTTGGCTGGACCTCAGAGGAGTTCTGACCAATTACCTCTTCTCATTCAGTCCCTCTCATGCACACACACATACACACACACTCAGACTTACAGGAACAAGGCACAATGAATAGAACTCTGACCAAACACTAGTATGAACACACCAAACTGTTAGCCTGGTCATCTCTACTGTACAAAAAGGGGAGCAGGTGCCGTTTTTCTTTCACTGGGAGACACTTTTATATACAGATTTCTAGAGGAGATGGATCCCTAGTATTGCCATCTCAATCACCACCATCATCTTCCTCACTATCTGCTCCCATACTGGCAAAATGCCAGTTTCACCCAGTCCAGTCAGAACCAGCACAAGGCCAAAAAGCACCAAAACTACATGCACTTCCTCTCCACATGGTCAACTACCTACTGTTGTTTAAGTCAAGGTTGTCAAAATTAGAAATTAAGCTTCCTCTTCTACCCAGAAGGATGTCTGACGCTTAATTGTTAAAGTCTAATTTTAACTTTCAGCTTTTACTACTTTTTTTGTTTCAAGCTTTAATCTGCTAAAAGCTCCTAACTCATTCGTTTAACAGCAGACCTGATTGGCAATCAGGGGATGGCATGAACGTATTTAGGCCTTCAGTACAAAATATTTTCTGTCACCCCATAACGCCTTGGAGCGCGCTGCTTTTTTTTTCTCTGCAGCTGTCTTGGCAACCAAAGCTGTTTTCATCAAAGTACTTTACTGAGTAGGTCAATTTAACATAATGGAGTTCATTTTTGTTGCCATGTGAGGTGTACCTCATCTGGGAAAAGATAACTGGAACGTTTTCAACCTCTGTTGGTGTCTGACGTGTAACAAGCTATGGTCTGTTATTACAACCTCAAACAAATTGTGTAAAAGTATTCCAGTGGTTACACTTGTGTGGCTATCTCTGTCTCAGCCCTGAAAGCAGTCCTTCAACAGAACTGACCCTACACAATGCTATGTTAAACACATCTAATAATCACCAGTGGATTCAGGACGTGCTATTAGCTATACACCTAACCATCCCTTGCTTTTACAGGCGCTTATCCCAACAGACGCTCACAATGGGTTGGGAGACATTGACGCACTGACTCTGCTCAAAGTGTGCAGAGACAAAAAGCTAGGGTGTATGCCATAGAGGTGCATGGCTAAAACAAGCACACATACGTACACACAGGGAGTGGTATGTGTGTATGTGTGTGTGACTAACAATGTGTATACACTCTGGGTTGGAGGGGCATGCAGAGGGGAGCATAGTTACAATGGGACAGCACGGTGGTAATATTTAGTCCACTCCTCTCAGTGGACCGCGGGTTTGTCTAGATTTTGGAGGTTGGGACTCGCAGGCCGACCAGACCGCCGGTGGGATCGCCGCGTCCTGTGTTTTCCAAGATCTTGTTGACGAAGTCAGAAGTCTGCCCAGCAACTGGTGGTGCCACTGCACGCAGAGAGACACACAAATGAAAAAGAAATGTTAAGACATTAAAAAACGCCTTATGCAACCTACTTGTCTCAAAAAAATATATATACAATGACAGTATGTTATAGCAGCTACAGCAAAATACATGTTATTATTGTCATTAGCCTGCCTGTTCAGATTGAGCAGAATTAAGCTTTTTATCAGTTTCAACAGTTTCACCACATTATCCCTTTTTCAGATTAACAGGCACTTGGACATGCTTGAAAAAGTCATTAATTGCATTTGTGTTATTTTCTGATTTTAATAAGTGTTCATGATATGACGCAAAGGAAGAGTTTATCTTCTCTGCATTGACAGTTATCGAGTGATTTACTGTCTTAATGCTAGCTTTATTATTTCTTGTTATCTGCTTTTGTAGTCTGGGCGATTAAATGTATTTATTAATTTAGATCATTTATATTTAGATTATTGTTAATGTTATTGTGAATGATATCAACATTTATAAATCTTAGTTTCATGAATAAACATATATTTCTTTCTCACATGTATTCTTTTCACTTCTTTTCTATAAACTACATATTTTAATGAACTCTCCTCTAAGAAAACATTTTAAAGTTTCCCACACAGTCAAAAAAATGGCTATGGAGTCCCTGTTTGCCTTCATTAAGATGTGTATATATTGTATTATTTGATCATCTTCAAATGAAGAGCCTTTAACCTTCCAGTGTTTGAATTTCAAATCCTTTCCTTGATGCTAAGCTGAAGTCAATTTGAACTAGACAATGGTCAGTAATAACTGTTGGATGTTTGCAGAGACAGGAATGAGTTACAAACAACTTAGTTAAGATACAATTACTAGTCATTTCAATTAAATGTAATTTCAAGTACATTTTTAATCATGTTTTACATGTACTGTCTGTTTTTGCTGACCAGTCAGGTTTAAATCACTCCATCTTCAATTCTCACCAAGTGTTTCCTGGATGAGATGCTCCAGAGTGTCATTCATGTTGGTTGGACGTGGAGAAGAGTCCTCCACACGGGCCACGATCTCCTCCTTGATGGTGTTGATCACAAACAACAGCCGGTCTACAGGAGGACGCACAAACAAGCATTAAGCACAAAAACATTACACGCTTATAAGCATAAATACAAAAGACTGATTCAAAATGTAATCATTGGCGATTTGAACAAAAATAACAAAAACATATGTCACTTGTTGGTGAGAGTAATTTTCAATGATCAGAAGGTTAATTCTAAATATGGCAACATAGATATAGATTAAATAGCCAAATGCAATAATGATCATCATAATTATACAGAGGTTGATGAACTTGGTGTAAAAACTGTAACGTATGTGGTGTCATAAGCAACGTACCGTACTCTGTGCTCAATCCCCAAAGCTTCACCTTGTTTGCTTCATACTGTGCCTTCTTTTTTAAACGACAAGCTCTGCAATAACACCAGATGAGTTTAGTAATGCATAGCAGGAGAGACCAAATAGGGACTGGGAAATAAGTAATGCTGCTCTGAAAAAACGATGTCTTGATTAGAACTACACTCTGAACGACACTCATGTTCTAAACCTTTTAAAAATTCATATAGTGTGAAGGCTCAGCGTGTGTTCGCACTGAATACATGTGCATGTTGTACCTGGATGCCAGCTTGTTCTTCTCCTTGCGGGACCGTGGTCGCGCGGTGAGCGGTAGCTCACTGACGGGGGTCAAGTCACTGATCACCTTGTTCAGTTTGCGGAGCTCGGTGCCGATCTGCAGCAGCTTGCGTGGATTGGGAGTCAGGTCTTCCACGTCGGTGCGGCGAGACTTTTTCAGCATATATTTTCCTTCATGACAACCAACAACAAAAAAAAGCCATTATAGAGAACTCTCACATCAAATTCAGGATTGTGTGTGTGTGTAGGAAATGATCTGATCATCTGCAACTCAATAAGGAGTGTAGCACAGGCGCTGCCAAAAGTTAGCATTCAATATAAACAATTGTCGCTTCACATTGGAATAAAAAACAACCAGCCAATTCTAGGTTCTTTTTGAACTGTTTTTTTATTGTGTATAAAGTTAACATTATTGGATTTATGTGAAATAATCTCTGATCTGAACAGTAAATTAATCACAATCATTAATCCTTTCACTTGAAACTTCGAGCAGCCAAAACTCTTTGTCTTTTCCTCTCTTAATTTTGAAGAGCTCAGGCACATAGAGTGGGAGAATCCATTAGAATTTATCCATGTAATGTAAATTCTTAGCATTTAGACATTCTCTCATTGTTTTCAACAGCAAACAGATTGTTGAACTGTAATTGTCTGTTCAGTCAAAGCTGATGACACCTGCAGTGGATCTAAAACAGGTCTGAGTTCAGAAATGAAGAAATGAATCACTGTGTATTGGGCCGCATCCCCTTCGTTGTGACAGAATTCTCAAATGCCACAAGCTTGAAGTGCTTTTTCCATTTTGAAAACTGTTACTAAATGAACACAATGCAATATGAGCCACTCTCTACATACTCAAACTAATTTAATAAATTATTTTTCAAAATTAAATATATACAAATATGAATGCAAGAGAAATGCCTTGCTGCTTGTGCTTTTCATTTCCAGTGTTGTTTAAAAGGTGCAGGTCTGTGCCTCTCATGTGAGAAATGAGACATCCTCCTTTCCTTTATTTAACATTTTCAATGTGATCATTTAAAATGTAGTATCACTGCAACATGCTGTGCACACCTGCTGTTGTGGAAAACCGCCACAGTCCTTATAAAAGACTCTATAAAAGCACTTGTACAACAGACTCTACAAACAGACATGATGCATTTTATGACCTGATCCAGGCAGTGAAATTAAACATCAAAAATAAAATAATTAATAAACAGATTATTTAATTTTGTATCAAATAAAGTATTTCCTTTGAAGATACTCCTAAAGCTTTTGACTAAGCATCTAGTGACTTAGCGACTTAGTAAGTCTTAAAGCAAGGCGTTTATCCTACACTGCCAGCTTGTGTTGATGTTTTGCTATATATATATACATACATACATACATACATACACACACACACACACACACACACACACATATACACATATCTGTAGGTATGTTTACCATGGAGAGGCCCGTTCTTCTGGTACAAGTTGCTAGGCAGCGTGTGTCGATCCCACTCAGACGGCTTAAGCATCCGTTCCTGTTTGGAGGGGGTGAGCTGCTCGCTGTACTCCCAGAAGTAACGGCGCTTGCCTCTCTTCCGACTGGAGACTCCTGCTGTCAGGCCTTTAATGTCCTCCATCAGCTCCATGTCACAGCCTGGTGGAGGTGGAAGAGAATGCGAGAGGGGAAAAGGGAGGAAATCAGAAAAGGAAAATTAAGGTGAAAATGCAGACAGGTACTAAAATAAGTAACAAATGATTTAAAGAAGGACAAGCCACTGATCGTGTTAACCAGAAGCAGGAAGAGGACAGGTTGTTACCTGGCTCAGAGAAGGCGTCACTCATGTCGTCGTCCTTGTCTGCTTCGTAGTCTTCATCCTCCTCCTCATCCTCCTCCTCCTCATTCTCAGACAGCTCGTGCTCGCTGCCGAAACCCTCATCGTGGTCTTCATCATCTAGCTCCAGCCCATCTCCTTCCTCCTCTTCTTCTGCCTCTTCCTCGTCTTCCTCCTCCTCGTCCTCCTCCAGCAGGGAGTGGGCTCTGCCGGCCAGCTTGCGGCTCAGGAACAGAGAGTAGTTGTGTTCCTCCTCCTTTGTCTTCTCCGTGCCCTCGACAACTGGAACGCCGCCAGCGCTGACAAGCACGGAGGTGCTGCCCTCCAGGGCCTGGCTCGCCTCAACCAGTTGAGGCAGGGTGGCAGACCAGCCATCAGGCATCTCAATCTTCACTGCCACCTCTGCCCTCCTCTCAAAGCTCATCAGGCCGCCAGAGCCACTGACTGCACCACCATCTGGTCCCCCCAAGATGGCGCACGCTGAAGTCGAGGCCTTCTCGTCTTTGGGCTGGGAGAGAGGAAGAGGGGGATCTGGCCTCTCAAAATCCGTCCGGGGTGGCTCCTCAGGCTCAGTTTTAGGCACAACGCTCACACGGACTTTAGCCTTCCTCACAAAGTCAAGGCCGTGAGAAGTTGGGGCTGCCATCTTGGCTCCTCGCCCCTGGGGCTTGGTTTGAGCTTGGCCATGGTCCTGGGTGAGACTGAGGTGGGTCTGGGTCTTGGCCATAGTCTCAGTGCTGGAGGGGACAGGTCTGGTGGCTTTTTGGGAGCCTTCGGGAAAGTCTGGGAGAAGGCTGCGGGAAGGACGGGAAGAGGATGTGGAGCTCGGGGAGGGCCATGCAGAGCTGGCGCCTGATCCATGACCAGGGACCAGGGGCCTCTTACTGTGACAGGGAAGCTGAGACGGCTGAGGCTGGAGGGCAGGCAGGGTCAGGTCCGCAGGGGGGTAGAACGCCTCACACACAGGCTGCGAATCCTCGCTGTTGAGTTGAGCCAGTGTCGGGGTTTGACCAATTACTTCCTCGTCCTGGTAGGGACTAGAGAAGTCATCCAATCCTAGGAAATCCACCTCTTTAGTGCCCCAGATGTCACAGCTGGTCAGCCGTGTGTATCTGTCAAACACAGAGACATGCAGCTCTATCAACAGGGAAAGCTTTCGTTGCCTTGTCATCATATATAACTTTTAACATGTAATTGTATCCTGTTTTTGTCTGAATATGAATTTGTACAATATATATGAATGAGGTGTTGTGGTAGCATTTTTCCTTGCGCAAATACAAGAATCAAAAATCACTATAGGCTTGACTGAAGTTTACAAATGTTTATTACAAAAAGTGAATCTATAGAGATATATATTTCAATTCATGTTAAAACTACAATGCATCATAACATAACAAACACAATATAGTAAGAAATGCTGGAATAAGCCAAAATATCAAAAGTGATATTCAAAATGATCAGATCGTGATCAGAGAACGTTCTGATTGTTAAAAGTAACCAAAATGTATTAAATGTTGGAAATAAGATTAGACTAGGTTTAGGTAGACTATAATAACTAAATTATCCCTAGCAAATGCAGACTATTGGAGAAGACTGACCAGAAAACAGGAGAACCTCTCGCTGCAGTCTCAGAGAAGATCTGAAATCCCTTCCTACTATGATCAGTATTCTACTTTGCTGAAACCCATGGTATGTACACACACACAAATGGCTCAAATAAAACTGCGCCACTAAAGTTGGCTCCGTTTGTAGTTTCTCAGCCAGTTGTCAAAACATTGTAATTTATCATTTTGGTGTTCTGGTCCAAACTGTTTTGAGTAGACTAGGCTAAATGCCCAGTCTTTGCTAGTAACTAGCATTCCTGCTTGCCCCTAAAGGAGAAAACCACAAGGCCCTTTGACCAAATATAAGCCCCTTTCGTGCAACTTTCCAACCATAATTGAATATATGTGAAACTATCATAATCATTACATTTTACAATACAGTTTATCTAACGTTTAATTGGTCCAGAGCTGCCTCATTGTTAAAGATAGAAAATCAATAAAGAGAGGATGTGATGAGCACATGTTGATGCAAATGAACATTTTTCTCCCCTATTTTCTTTTGCATCTTTGAAATTCACAAAAAAACAAAACACAATGGGTGCAAACAGAGCTGCATTAGATGATTAAATGATTAGTCCATGGACAGATATGTAATCTGTAAAGAATTTTATCCTAAAAATAATGAGGATGTGCTGCTTTTCTATATCAACTAGTGCAGTGGCCATTCACAGGCACCAACGTGACGCCTCCCTGCAGTGCAGTGCTTGTTCAAAATGTGCGTCTCACATTGGTTTCACCTACAGCTAAGACTGAGCAATAAAACAATAATATAATTTTCCTCAATAACAATTTAACAAATGTTAAAAAAAATTTGGTTGAATTCTTTTGACTGACGATTGAATTAGCACTTAATTTTTCTATTAAGATATTTATTTTGTTGAGGAAAATGTACTGAAAAAAGATTTTACTTAATTTTACTCATATGTTTGCTGAAAAAAAGTTCTACCTCAGATTTGTGAAGTGATCCACTGTTTGGCATCAAGTGTTTGTTCTGACTGTAAAGAATAGTTTAAAACCACAATTAACCATCTGGTTTCACATAAACTTTCTCACTCAGGAGCAAAAGTCAGCCTTTAAACTTATAAGAAATAAGGTTTTGACATTTATCATGATAATTATCGATACCGGATGATATGAACATTTTTATCATAAGGACAATTTGGTTATAGCGCCCAGCCCTACAGCAACACGATAATGGCGGAGAGGATGCTAGATATTGAGCGCTTCCTTAGAACTTCATAAAACTATTACAACTCCGTTTCAACACATTTGTTTCTAGCGTATATCAAACCTGCGTGATGACAATAACTCCGTTTCAAGAATTAACTACCACAGCAGAGCATAAGCCCTGCCCCCACGAGCATACCCCACTCTCGCTGTTGCAGAGTGGAGCGTCTCACGCCGTACTGTAGGTTATTCAAGTTTATTCATTCTTAACGTGTCGTGTGCCCAAATTACACCAAATGCAATGCTGCACTCCCTGGGGTCCGCAGCAACAAACCCACCACGTGTGAGGTCGATTGGATGAACGGTTCTCGACATGATCAAACTACACACACACACACACACACACACACACACACACACACACACACACACACACAGAATCCTGTCTTCATTGGAGATGTAATGTGAATATATTTGGACAAAACAAGACATGTGAAAATGTCACCTTAGACCGGGAACTTATTCTTTTAGTATTTTCTGATATAATATGGACTAAACAAATAATCGATTAATGGACAAAGAATTCAAAACATTAATGTATACTGGAAATAATCTAAATAAAAACTAGCCGCAAACAGTGAATGTTTAACATCACTGTAGTGCATTCGCCATGTTAGCTGTTAGCAGTAGCTAGCTGACAACACACACTATCCCCGTGTGTGTGTATGTGTGTGTGACAGCAATTTTGTTCATTTCCTCTTTTCAGCCTCCACTTGTATGTTCATGATGTAGAATCACAGTCAAACCTCTTCACACCACAACACACAAACGGATCCAAGAAGCAAACAGGGGGCTCCGAGGCTGTCTTAGTACTTCATCTGGTAGTTACAGTTTTGACACCCACACAGACACGGCTTTAATCTCTTTATGACAGGAAGGCTTGCCAGATGAAGAAAAACAACTGTTTGGTTAAACCACAGTAAGGAGCAAAGGTACCTCAAGGACACACAAATACAATATGACTTCTGCTGACCCAGAAACACACTCCACAAAACATCAGAGCTACCAAACAGCAGCGTGGGACTAATCTGGACAGTCAAGGTTGTAAAAGAATGACTCACTTACTAACCAAAAGATAAAGCACTTTCCTCAGTCTGCTTGAACATGACCTCAATCAACCCCACAGCAGCAGATTTTCACAATCCTGCAACAGCCAGCACTACTCCACCTCAGAATGAACAGCCTTTAGACTTGTTGTCTGTCAGCCGACACTCAACATCAGAGGAGAGAGTACTCAAACTATTTTGGCAGCAAAGCGTCAGGATAGCTGCAGGACAGATGGAGCATCACCTGCAATCTCTGGAGACTGCGGTAGCCAGTTGCTTTGTTGTTTACTGGCCCTCTTAAACCACTCCCTGCCTTCAAGCAAAACCACTACCTGCTTCAAATCATCTAGCCCGTCTGGGCCAGACCGTGATGACATGCCTCAATGATGGTAAACTCAGCTGCTATTAAACCTTTAGGCACCTGTCCCATCTCATAACGTTCACAGACTGACTTCTCATCTGCTTACAGTAAAAATCAGACGTCCTGAGCCCACATGACGGAGGGAGTACAACCGCTTCTACACCAGAATCCTCTTTATTGACTTCAGCTAATCCTGAAATGATTAGCACAATTCTGATAATCAATTAAACATTTTATCAAGCAAAAATGCCAAACATTTGCACGTTTCAGCTCAGATTTGCTTTGTTTTATATCATTATTAATTCATACTTATTGGGCTTTTGACTGTCGGTAGGGAAAAACAAATAGACACAATCTTGACTTCTGGGAATTTGCAATGGGCATTTTTCAGACTAAAAAGATTTGCCTGCAAACAGTTGACAGATTAATCAACAATAAATATGTTGGTGAAGCGCAATAATCAGCTAGGGGTGTAATGGTATAACTTTTTAACAGCACACCAGCAAAAATATGCTGGCTATGGATTTGGCTCTTGCATTTTTTCTGGTATGGAACATATTTCAAATGTCTTGTCAACTAGGACAGCAACATTTAACAAGTTGTTGTTCTGCAAAGAACCCAGTTCACTCAGCGGATGTCTTGCATTTTATTTTAAAGGATGATGTCGGTATTATTCTATATCTCATTTGTCACCAAATCCCATCTGTGTCTGTGGCTCTCAGCCCGAAGCTGATTGGTTCCCACAAAAACACGCATTTAAAAATTAAAAGTCTGTTAGAAACTCTTAAAACAAAAGATGCTATTTTATGTTACAAGCTTCACAACTGGCTAGTAGTGTTGTAGTACTCGAGACTGGTCTTGGTCTCGAGACCGGTCTTAAGTCCACTATTTGATGGTCTTGGTCTCATCTTGGACTCAACCGCATTGAGGACTCCGGATTTTATTTCAAGACCAGTCAAGGCCATAACTTTGGCAATATCAATAAATTGCTTTTTCATTGTCTGATTTATTTGTTAACATCCTATCTTTGATTGGATGTAAAACTTATTGCTTCAAATGCAACCAATAACCCTAATTAAAAATGTGTTGTTCTCTGTAACGACTGTCACCCCTCACAGCAATGGTAAACATGGAAAAGGAGTGTTGAGGGTCTTGGTCTCGACTTGGTCTCAGACCCTAAAAGTCTTGGTCTTGCCTCAGTCTCGATAAACTCTGGTCTTGGTCTTTATTTGGTCTTCATTTGGGTGGTCTTGACTACAACACTAGTGGCTAGATACAACCTGTCTGTTTTATGCAAAATCATCTACAAACTAAAAGCGCCCTCCTGTAGTTACTGCACAATCCGTTCTTAGGTACTGTTATGCACAATTCTTAGCAATGTAAGCCACCTTCAACTTTAGAAAGGTTAAGGAGAGGTGAAACACGGTATACTTTTTGCATTTCCTTAAATCCATTAGTATGTTTTCATGTCTTGTTTACTTGCTGTTTTTTTCTAACTTGATCTAAAATAAGCTAAAGCACATGAATAAATAATCCAGTACCTGGTGAGGTCTTCCCAGTAGGAGTCCCACTGTTCGAACGCTGAGCCGCTACAGACCGTCTCACATTCGCCCAGGTTCATGAGCTGATCACAGCCCTCCATCTCCTTGCCTCCGTCCCCGACCCCAACCATGCTGTCCCTATAGGGGCTCTGCTGGTGGGTCATGTCTCGGTCCTGCAGAGAGGAGAACAACATGGAGGTGAGTGAAGCAGGTGGTTAGAAGATGTCCCGTTTTTAATTCTAGTTAGTTTACTCCTTGTTGTTAGAGATCTAGTACATTGGAGCAAACACATTAGTGGTGTAAGTCTGCTGTTTGACATTAGATTTGTCTGTGTTCTTACAGGAGACATAGGGTAGATAATGTTTTATTTAACAAAGAGTAAAAGAGAAGCCATTAAGCTAACCAATATCTGTGCACAGTGAAAACTAACTGGGGGCAGAAGAAGATGACCTCCTATATGCCATCATCCCATTAACGTGTTGCTATGGCGTGAGAAATTGAGAGTGCGGCAGTGAATCATGATTGTTTAGACTACAGCGGACGGTAAATTGAGGTAGACACCTGCAGCTGACAGGGGGAGTGGTGACAGGTGAGCTGTCTGTTTAAAGCTGCCTCCCTCGCCTGTGAGCCTGACAAATGTCACAAGGCTGCTAAACAATTGGACTCAGGCCTCTCTGTTTTAAATGCCACGCTGTGCTGCTGAGCTGACAGCATGCCAATGTTTACTTACAGTTTGTCAATGGAATTTAAATTCATACACATTCACTCACTTACCTAGTTTTACTATGAATAAAAAACACTGCTATGTAGTTTTATCAAAAAAACATTGGAAATACTGATAGGAGTGAAACATTTTTACATGCAATTCTTGTTTTTGTACTTAATATTAAATTTAAAAAATTCACAAAAAACTAAATATCATTGTGTCACTTACTGTTCTTTGAATTAGAATTCACTCTGGTCTTTGTTGGGAGCTTGTGTGCTGTGTGTAATCTAATATTGTTTTTCGATACGGGCGGGGATACTCGTGCCGGGCTGAGCCGTGAGCGACAGTGACCACTCAAGCCACGCTGACACAGTGCTTGTGTTTTTCCACTGCACAGCGTGTCATGGTAAAAGATGCTGTTTACCTTGATGGTGCGTTGGAGGTGAGATGAGTCTCGCAAGCCACATTAAGAGCCTGTCGTCTGGAGTTCTTCATCTAGCATCTCACTGTGGCTGTTTCTGCTTGGACTATATTACATGCTGCAATGTTAGAAAATTATCTGCTGACCAAATAGCTCAGAATATGTCTATATCTTGTTGTGTAGACCTGTTTCGGTGAAATCCTAATTGCATTTCCTACAGGTGCTTCAAAATAAAAGGATATGGCTCGAGCTTTTTAATGTGAAGCTCCAGCAGGAGTAACTTCACACTGCTTGGATATGACTGAAAGCGATCAGCAAACCAGCCTCCATCCTCTGATGTTACAAAAGTACTGAGAATTTTAATGTTTGAAGTTACAGTGAAGCATGAGACGCATTTTTTTTTACAAAAGCCAATTAGAGGAAACCCTGACAGCAATTTTGCACGTAACAATAGTTGAAATACCTATTTACTCATGATCCCACCACAATAAAAAGGTTATTATATGTGATGCATATTGTGATGCAAAGGGAAATAGAAGTTTGACTGGTGATCTTTAAACTGGGGTCCTTCGTTCAGATGCAACTCAGTGACAGCACAGCGTGAGCAGCTGCGACTGATCTGAAAAGAAGTGAGGCTAAAAGGATGGTGAGCAAGGTCTGATGCCTGTCTGTAGCAGGGCCTTGGTGTTTGTACAAATGTCTCGTTGCATAAACAGGTGTGGGTGAGCATTAACTGTGCCAACAATTTTATACTGTTAGGTTAAATAATTTGTCATAATATGATATTATGTGTGTGTGTGTGTGTGTGTGTGTGTGTGTGTGTGTGTGTGTGTGTGTGTGTGTGTAGCCACTCACCAGTTCGTACATGAAATCTGGGTCAGAGCTGGTGGCGAGCAGGTCAGTGCTGGTCAGGGCCTGGTCAGCAAACGAGTAGTTCTGAAAGGCGTCCCCAAAGGGAGGCTCCATCCCACTCACACTGGGCTGCAACACAAAAAACAGAGAACCAACAATAATAGAAAATGTAATCGTCACCAAAACCAAATAAACCTTTATTCCTTTGTCTTTTGTTGTCATCCTTCCTACCTGTTCTGTCTCACTCAAGCTCAGTATTGTATTCATTACCAGCTGCGACAACATGTATTGTTTTCACCTTGTGAGTCTGTGTGAGTGTCATCATGTCAAAATGTGATCCTGAGACACCTACTGTTGCAGGAACTACTACAGAAGTAGTTTTGAGTACTTTGCCAGGTGGTTTTATGTCTGTCTTACCTTGTCAGGACCAGTAGTCCTCATGTGGAGAATGAAATAGGGCTTAGGGTTAGGCTGTCCACAATGAATGGAGCTCAATGCAATGTCCTGAAAAGGATAGCTGCGTAAACCTGTTTGTGTGTGTGTGTGTGTGTGTGTGTGTGTGTGTGTGTGTGTGTGTGTGTGTGTGTGTGTGTGTGTGTGAGAAACAACAGAGTAGAAGAACAAAACAGAGAGAACAAGACCTGGTATGGGATCTGGGAAACAGGAGTGAATCAGTTATTAATGAAAAGAAGGCTAGTTTGGTGAGGGAAGATAAGATGATGTACTATCAAACACAGTATCTCCACTAATCTTGTTAAGCAGCATGTTGGATTAAAGAAAGAAGTTGTGAAAAATACACATATAATACGCAAAATAATATAATATGCAAAAACTTTGGGACATTCGTAAACAATATCTCAGGACAGTACAACAAAAATGTAACTATACATTACATAATACATGAAGATTTGTGTAATGTATGCAGAAGTCTGACATTAACATGTCATGTCATACATTTTTTCACATGTCACTGATCCTCCTAAGTACGATTTGTCAACACGATAGCGCCACAGCCGTGCAAGATGCAGATGTCACAAAACGTTATAGTTATGTAGTTGAGACCAAAATGAAGGAGTTCAAAAAATGGGTGTGGCACGACCCGAGTACTCATGTGATAATGCCTTCGGAGTACTCATGTGTCGGAATGTCAGCATGTAAACGGGCATCACAGCTGGTGTGATCCCATCACAAGATGGTCTCCAGTTATTTCTCTACTCACTTAGTTTCCTTAGGAGAAGATTCTCTTAGTTACTAAACAATGTGTCATTATTTCTGCAGATTTATATTAGAGGAGTAACACAGCAATAGTAAATTCTGCTTATGTTTTTACAGCAAATGTTTGCAGCTGACAAATCGCTAGCCTCATAATGTCTGGTTGAGGTATGTAATATAGCCCGACTGATACTGAAATCGATATATAAGCCAATTGTAATTTTTCAAAATATAAAGATATAACATAAAAAAATAATCTTGATACAGATCTCTTAAATTAATTGTGACTTTGGTAAATACTTAGCAAACATTTTCAGTTGAAAAATGCACCTGTCAATGCTCTCTGGTGGACAATCTTTGTAAAAGTCACTTTTTCTACCTCAAATCTAGTTTGGCATTTCTGTACAGCAGATTCTTGTTACATATTGGCCGACATAAACACTAATACAATATATCTGCGATAAATCTAACATTGGCTTGACTGATTTATCAATCTAGGTGCTCAATGCACAGGTGCTCTCAGCGCACGTCAGCTATGAATGAAGCAGATCACTGTTTTCTAGTCAACTTCAAACTGGAGATGTAGCAGTTACATACAGTAGTATATGTCACCATACAAGCCTCCAGGACACCACACGTGTTCACTACAGTATCTTAAGATTTAGCAACAGTGGCAAAGGGAAAGGGTTCAATTACATTTGTTAAAATTATATGACAAGGAAGCTGAAAGCGTAAGTGAGTTGGCCCAGCTATATATATATATATAATAGCTGCAATCATAACTAACAGCATATCTTGATGTAAGACGCCACATATTGCTGAGTAAGAGTCTCACTGCAGTATATATAATATGACGTAATGATAATGTCATATACCAGGAGCAAAAGAGAAATCCAGGAAAGGAATTGTTGTAAGGGCATAAAATCTATATTTTGGCTAAATGTGAGTTATCACTATACTGATGATACTTATGTATGATTCCTGTGAATATACATTGTTTAACTGATTAATGAAGGATTATAATAGATGTATTGGCTAAACAGGTACACATGCACTTGATGACTATGTAAAGATTGGTTCTTATAGAGTACAACTACACACAATTTGGTGCTTTTGTTTCCTCCTGGCATTTTTAGATACATAGTACATTACACTATTTGCAGTCATGTGACCCAGACGGAGCTCGAAATTCAGAACGGCAAGATCAACAAGATGGAGGAAAGTTCCTACTGTACTAGTTATTGTTTACTCACTGTATCGCCCCAATCAACATGCGTGTGAAATCTTGAGTTGCACCAATTCATTATAAAAGTTAACCTTTCGTGTTGAATAATGGCAAAAAGTTGACCTTTACCTTTTGGGTAAGAAATTACCTCACTGTAGTTTGCTATTAAACATCTGTGTGAAATCAATTCTTGAATTATGACCAAAAAGTCAAGGTCATTTTGAGGTCACAGTGACCTTTGAGTCAAAAGTCTCACCAACTTACTGCCTGACCAACTGTTAAATATGGTCGAGTTATGGTCACGGTGACCTTTGACCACCAAAATCTAATCATTTTATCCCAGAGTCCAAGTGATCATCTGTGTCAAAATTAAAGAAATTCCCTCAAGCCGTTCCTGACATATCACATTCACAAAAATGGGATGGCCAGCCAGACAGAACACATAATTCCTCTGCCTGATGCCGGCATGGAGGCATAAAAACACTTAAGAGGGCCGAGATCATCTTTCACCCAAAGGCCGATTGCGTAGTGCTTCTATTAATTCACAGAGATTAAAAACATGTGAATCCAAAATTATGCTCGGACACAATACTCTCTGTCATTTGATACATATTTTTATTAGGATCCAGAGTTTACATAGTCCTTTACTAACTCATTCGCAGTTGACCCATCTGCCCCCAGCAGCTGTTGGGATGTAGCATCTACAGACGTCACACACTGAACGAACGTCAGTCACTCGTCTCTTTCAACACTGAAAGTGTGTTTCACATCTCTTGATACTGAAAAGCTGAGTCGGTCAGATCAGTTTTGAGATATAAACTTTAATTCCTGCTGGTATAAAGTTAAAAATTCACATTTGTATGTTTGGGGTTAACAACATCATGGTTTTTCATACCGTTTCAGACATTTCGTCTGATTCCATACAGATTCAACAGCCACACCTGTGTAGGAGGAAACCTGTCTCCCTGTGTGTCTCTTACCTGAGGCATTGCCAGACAGTTGCTCCAGCGGGGGGAAACCTCTGGGTCTCTTGTCCAGTCCCAGTGGTGTGACGGCGTCTGATCAACACAATAAATGACTTCTAAAGGAGACGACAGCAGAGTGCTGCTGGATGCAGACTTCAAGGCTGAGGGTGGGGGGGTGGGGTCAGTAACTGGGCCCAATCTGGTGTGGTCTATTGTGGTCCGGTTGGGTTCTCTGTATTCACCAGGTCTGTGGTAGAAACAGAGAGTGCAGAGGGCAGAAGTAGAAGCATCAAAAGAGGAGGAAACAAAGACAGAACCCACCAATAATGCGCACGTGCATTTTAACCACAGCTGCTAAGCTTGTTTGTTTCTCTCACAGCAAACTGCAGGAGGATGAACTGTGAGATATGAACAGGTTCACAAACACATCAAGAACATTTAATAGCTATTTAATATTTAATAAAATGGCACACAGAAAAAAGCAAAAATGACATTAAGGACTGTGAAATCAACTACAGCTGAATCCATGAGTCGACTAACTTTTTAAGGGCAGGGTAGGTAAGTTTGAGAAACTGGCCAGAAACTGCTGGATTTTGAAAGTATCCAACACAGAAACTCCCACCCCCTCCCTTCTGGGCTCCTTCCAAAGCCACGCCCCCAAAAACATGTGAACGCGCAATGCCGCAACCGCAGGAGGACGAGCACAGCGAGCGGAGAGCAGCAGCTCACATCAGGGGTAAGAAAACATCTAACTTTATCATTATGAAAATAAACAACTAACCCGGCTGTTAGTACTCACTATCAAGCCAGCGTGTTATTATTGGATAGGTTTAAAAGGACTGACTTTGATTCAGTAACGAGCTGGCTAGCTAACTGTTAGCAACAGGTAGCTGTGCTAACAGCTGCGGTAACATTGGACAAAGCTAAAAACAGGCTGATACACATTTTCCCGTTTCCACCAGTTACACTACACGAACGTGTATTTCGTGTTAGACTCATAACATGTACGTTGTTTTGCATGTTGGAGCTTCCAGGGTGACAGCATTATTGTCTCTGATGAGGACTGCACCCCAGAGCCAAGCACAAACCGGGACAGGCCCGGGGTCGAAGCGAAGCAGAGGATATGACAAAAAGTGTTTCAGAAGCAACTTGCCCATCCTGCCTTTAACTGCAACCAATTTTGATGATCAATTAATTTCTTTGGGGTTCAGACATAAATATAATCGGCAGATTAATAGATAAAAATAGAAACTAATGGTTTGTTCCAGCCCTGAAATCAACTATTAAACTTGGGGGCAGTGGAAACAAGTTGTGAACACAGCATATAATCACATTTTAATGGTGAACTTGTTAGTAAACAGTTGTTTATTTACACATTCAGCAGTTACAAAGCACAAGTATTATTCATTTGGAGTCGTGTTTGTGGACAACTGGAGAAAGTATGTGCAGTTTTCACACTCGTAAAGCTGTTGGTCTCTAACAACTCCTGAGGGAAATATCTGTCTTTTTAGCTGCTAAATGCTTCACTGTCTTCTCCAGCTAGTCACTAAATGTGTCTGAGCAGGTGTGTACAGTGGATTTTTAAACAGCTACCTGCTGCGGCTGAAAACTCTGCTGTGAGAGCAGTGAGGGTGTATCAAAACAATACATTTTGGGGCCGGAGTGCTAAACAATCAGTTGAAACTCGCTATAAAACTCTGTGAAGCTGACGGAAGCTGCAGTCAGGTAATAATTCTCCGTAGGTTCATCACACAGAGAGGAAAAGGTGTTGGTATGGTTGCAAAAATAAGCTGTAGAAGCAGACTCACAACAGCATTTATAAGTTGGGAATTAAACTTTTTCATCAAAAACTTTATCTCATTTATTATCAATGTCCTTCCACTGACTGCCAGCCATGCAGCATCACCCTTCCTCTGCTGCTTGTATTACCTCACTGCATAAACAAGCATATACGGTCAATATTTTCCACCTTCCCTTAAACTGGGCAAACACTGAAGAGGTTCACAGGTCAAAAAAGACAATTCATCACCGCCCCCTCTTCATTGAAATAGGGAATGAATATAATTTGCTACATCGCCTACGGATTTCAGATGCTAACTGGTCACTTTTTTTTATTATAGTGTGAATGAAACTGAAATTAAGCAGAATTCCCCTTTATTTTTATTTTTTTAAAACATCCCTTTCTTCAAGTACCAGTTTTTCTAAACTATAAACCCATACCTTTGTTTGACACATAAATATGTCTGTGTCTTTAAAGGAACACATCATGGGAAACACAGTCCCAGTGCTTCTAAAAATGCAGGACTGTTGCCTCCAGGTCTTCCTCTGTTTACTGATAACTGCTGGATGGGAGGCTAGTCCTTCTGTCTCCATCTCTAGAGCTGGATCTAATGTCAACACAGCACTGGGACATTGTAATCTCTTCTTTCCTCCTCTGTCCCTCTTGTTCAATTCAGCTTTCACAGACTAAAGCCCTAAAATATACTATGGTGTTCTGGAGCCCGTATCATGCAGCAAGATTAGTGGGTTAGCCAGCAATCTTTGGGTTGGTTAAAGGTTTTCAGGTGTCATGAAGCTGGCTCACATTTTACCGGGGTCTATCACTATGCTGCACAGCTAACCTGCACTGAGGCATGTTGAGCTGCCAGGATACTCCCTCAGAACTGCTTGTCAGATGGTCGACATCAGATTAGGGAGAGCTACATCCAACCATTTCTGTAAATTTCCGAAACCAACAATCCGTCAGCCCTAGTTGGACAAGTTATGAAGAGCAACAGACTTTTATAGGTTAGTAAAATCACTTTATCTATTGTGATAATTGAGGAATATAATTTTTTGCAACCATGTGTTCAGTCCGGGTTTGGAGAAGGTCGGATGAGTCTTGCAGACCGGCCATAGATATTCAGTTTACAATTATATAAAACAGAGAAAAGCAGAAAATATTCACAATTATGATGAAGTCACTAAGGGAATTACTTTAAAGTTGAATGGATTATCAAAATAGTTGTTGACTAATATTCAGAAGATTGACTAATTGCTTAATCGACTAATTCTTTCAGCTCTAAAATGAAGTAAGAAAAGAGTTTTATTAGTATTGTTCCTAATGCAAAGGCAGAGATGGGGGCGTCTGGTAATGAAGTAAGGTTTAAATATCTGTCCGTACTTAAATGGCTTGCACGATGCTCTTCATTGTCATTTTGCCCAATCAACATACCGAACCAGTAAGTCCATTAGTGAAGAGCCCAAAGCAGCTCTGTTTACCCAGGAGCGGCCGGAAGTTGTGGTGAGAATAAGCTTCTGAGAAATCTGTGGTGCACTCCAATCCCTGCCCCCCCCCCAAATCACGTGTTTGGAAAGCACCCACTTTTCCGAAGCCCAAGTATCTCCCCACCTTCGTTCAGAGAGCATCTCACTTGTTGTGAGTCAAGCGAACATGAAGCTTATCCTTAACTTAAAATTTTTATTTATGCCCTTCATCCTCCGCTTGCACTTGTTTCTTTCTCTTCTTATTCATTGTTCTCTCACTTTCCGGCACCACCTACCGACCGCAACACATGCACTGATCGTTGGTCCCTTCGCTGCTTTTGCATAGCAAATAAATGAGAATCTGCTTAGAGACATGACCCCCGCAGCGAACAGCTGACTTGCGATCGTAAACCAATCCCACATCTCTGAGGCGAGCGGTGGACAACATCACTTCCTCTCACTGCGTGCTGACAGACTCAAGTGAACTTATCACCCCTGAGCTCTGTCTCTGTCTATACACACTCTGACACAGGAAGTGGCACACATCAGTACACAGTACTAGTTCAATAGCAATGGTAAAAGCAACACCTTCACAAACACCAAAGCCCATGCAAACACTCGTGTCTATGCACAAACACACTTTCTTAATGACCAACAGCATATTTGGAAGCTCAGCCTCTGAAATACAAATTGTGATCATTATCATATCTCGATGTGTACTTCCTTCCTGGGCAGATGTGTCTGGTTTCACTTGTAGCAGAAGCAGAAAAAAGAAATACAAGTCCTGGGCACAACAATATCACTAGCATTAATCCAGACTTTCTGCTATCCCACAGGGAAACAGAAAGCATGCGATTACAAGCAGGGATCTTACAAACATGCAGAAAATGAGTCACAGCGCTCCTCACCTCTCACGGCACAGCTGCACTGAATATTTCCCAGTAGCAGAATTTAATATAATCCAACTCACTGCTCAGTAGCTGACACAGGCTGTGATGTAGAGCCGGATATTTATGACGGAGCCTGACAGGCCTCGAAAGACTGGAGCTGAATTTCTCTCTCAGACGTTGGTCACCGATGAAAACCTCCCAACATTAGATGTTTTCTTTTAGCCCTTGTACTTTGGGATTTGGCTTGGTTTTGGGTCACAACAGTGTAACCTGTGGTCTTATGTCAGGGTTCAAAATTTCAGATCTTCTCCAAGCCTACTTTAAAAGGTCTTCTTTTGTCCTTTTTAAGTCTACGACAAACAGAAAATCCAGATACATAAAGCAAAGTTCTCTACAAAGATAGATAAACGATGAATGATGAAGACAGAAGTTGTTCAATAGGATAGACTTATTGCAGCTGATGTTTACGTCTCAGAACAAGTGCATAGGATAGACAATTTTAGTTGAGAAATTACTTGGGATCTACCAAACTGTCATTTCCACAAAACAGAAATAAATAAATATAAAAGTAATGATCAGCAGGATGTCAAAATACATATCTTAATAAAGACACATTCTCTGAAACACCGTTCTCCTGTGCTGCGCTCAACTCATGGCTTCACTATCATGCAAACAGCTCACATTCTCCGCCCCACAACATTGGACGTGATCCAAGTAGGCCAATCAGCAGTGTCTTATTTGAGTTACCTACTGACACCAGTGAAGTCCCTGATCCCTACATTGATAACAAGCAGGAGATGCCAGCCTGTTTACTAAAAAAGGACATATGGGCGAATCTCTGCAAACATCAAGAAGGTTCATTAATCCACAAGTCCTAAATGTTTGTGTACAGTGTGGCAACGGACGAACAGAACATAGACACTCACTAACTGCCAACTGTGCAAAAGGTTGGGACAATGTATTATGTAATGCACAACAGAGGAAAGTGCCACGCTGGACCGAGCATCAATAATAATGTAACAATAATTAAAGTTGACTTTGCTGGTATCATTCCCTTTTAAAACATTTTTATTTTTTATTTTAATGTGTTATCAGACTGTTTCGGTTTGCTTTGTTTGTTTTTTGTATTGCCTTTGCTATTTATTGTTGATATTTTTACCTATTGTTATTCTAATCTTGTTTTGTTGGGCTACATCTTTGCATGAAATGTGTTATACAAATAATGTAAAAATTATATTTATTGTAGAGACTGTAAAAAGCAACAACTTTACCAACATCAAAGCACGTACAATGGTTGTGTCCGAAATCCCCACTCATTCACTACTCCTTACCACCTGTGTAGGGAGCTGTATGTAGAGGACTCACTCGCATGAATAAAACAACACTTTCGGACGCTACTCCGATCGTTATTTCGGTGCCGTTAATTACGTCATTGCCGTTGGATACATTGAGTGGACTATATAGGGTATAATAATAATTATCACTATACATTCGGACAGCACTACAAAATGGCGAGCTCACTATATAGTCGACTATATAGTGAGTAGTGGGTGATTTCAGACACAGCCAATGACACAAGTCTATGCAGATAAATATGTACACACATACTTTCATAAAGGCCAACAGTATATTTGGAATCTCAGCCTCCAAAAAACTAATTGTGATCATTATCATATCATTTACAGAGAATGGAGAAAATATCCAGTGTGCGGCAGTTCTTAGGGCAGAAACCTTGTTGATGGCAGAGGTCAAAGCAGAATGGGCAGAGCTGATAGAAAGACAACAGTAACTCAAATTACCACTCCATACACTGATGTATGAAAAAGAGCATCTCTGAATGCACAACATGTCGAACCTTGAAGTAGATGGGTTACAGCAGCAGAAGACCACACCGGGTGCCTCTCCTGTCAGCTAAGAACAGGAAACTGAGACTACAATCACACAGGCTCACCAAAATTGGACAATAGATGATTGGAAAAATGTTGCCTGGTCTGATGAGTCTCGATTTCAGCTGCGACATTCAGATGGTAGGGTCAGAATTAGGGCTGGGCAATAAAACAATAATGATAATTATCGCAATATAATTTTCCTCAATAACAATATCTTCAATATATCGTCAATAAATAATTGATTGAATTAATTAGAATCATGAACAAATTAGCACTTAATTTTTCTATTAATATATTTATTTTGTTGAGGAAAAGGGACTGAAAACTATTTATTCGTCATATTTATTGAAAAAAGAATTTATCATAATTGTTTTGAATGTTCTACCTCAGATTTGTGAAGTGATCCACTGTTTGGCATCAAGTTTACCACGTTCTGACCGTAAATAAAAGTTTAACCACACAGTTAACCATCTGGTTTCTTCAATTTTCACTCAGGAGTGAAAATCAGCCTTTAAAAAAGAAATAATGATTTACTGATAATCAATATCGAGTGGTATGAAATGTTTTTATCATGATAACATTTTTGGCCATATTGCCCAGCCCTAGTCAGAATTTGGCGTAAACAACATGAAAGCATGGATCATGCCTTGTATCAACGGTTCAATCGCAATATGACCTACTGTTATTTTCAAATGAGGTGCAATATTCATTAAAGGCAAAATGCGTGTCAAAATACCATTTTAAAATAAATATTGTCGTGCTGCAGAGATGTCCTGGCCTACACATCATATTCTACAGACTTAAGAAAATATATTTGTTTGGCATAGATCCTTGTGAAAATCACACTATAATCATTTACATATCATTTTCAATGAAAATGAGAATTATTCAGTAAAAATTATCATTCCCTCGAATGTCGGAAATCATATCGCCATTGCAATATCAGTCAAAATAATCGCAATAAGATATTTTTTCAAAATCATTCAGCCCTTATGTGCAGCACATACGTGATGCTATCAAGTCAACATGGACCAACATCTCTGAGCAATACTCTCAGCAGCTTGTTGAATCTGTGCAACAAAGATTTAATGCAGTTCTGTAGGCAAAAGGGTCCAACCCCGGTACTAGCAAGGTGTACCTAATAAAATGAACCGTAATGCCAGCGAAAGGTGGAGGTAAACTGAAGTTGAACAGACCCATTCACAGCAGACATTTGGATTTGTAAAACACAGGTGTGACTAATACCATTGTTAACTGATGCATTGCAATGCATTTCTAGAACAGAGCCATCATTAATGATATTAGCTCGATCTTGCACTTTTCCTGGTATGACAAGTCAAAATGTCTGCTGTGAACAAGGTAAATTGTTGGAAAGGCTAATATCAAGATTCATCTTAAAAGATTTACTCAAACAGAAAACAACATGTAAAGTTAAAGTACAAGAAAAACCTCACTGGTGATGCTCAGCAAGCAGTCAAGTCTGAAGAAGATTATCATGATCTCAAGTTCACAGTCAATAGAGTAGGAGAACCTTGTGTGTAAAAAGGTTTGCACAGTTTACCTTACACGTTAAGTGTGTATGATAATTATGTTCTGGGAGTGCTCGCATTTGGCTTTCATACAATCATGTTTCAATAAGATTCAACAGGGCTCCTTTTACTATCTCTCAGTAATGTTACCAGTGTACATTTTTTCCACATGACAGAAAAAAGTTTGGGATCCTGTAATCACACAAGCCCATGATTGCAAATTAATTATGATAACGATAAAGACAAATAAAATACTTGTGAAAAGAGATTTAAAATAAGATATATGACGGATGTGCTGACTTGTCATATGCATTGTACCAGCACATTTTATTATGGTATACAAATGTTTTCCTTTATCCCTCTTGTTGTTACAAAGCGACAGGAATGGACGACAAGCTCTAGTACAGACACTGCATCTGCTGATGAAAGCACATTGAGCTTTGTCATTTGACCAAAACCTTACATAAACAACCACAATGCTAGTAGAAAAACACATACACGACATAAAAGGTGTTCAACTGTAGAAATTGCAAGTATTTTAACTCAATCTTCCATAAAAAAAAAAAAAACATTGAAAGTTACATCCCTGCATCTCTTTGTGATGGATTCACTTGTTATGGAGGAGCACAGTCTGACCGCTCAAACATTTCCATCACCACATCAGCAGCAGCAGCTTCTAACAGGTAGGTATAGATTACAAATGGCCTATAAAAAACATGAATAAAGCCATAAATGTCACCTGTATCTCACAGTCTCTGCACTCATCACAGATCCTCAGCAAAGCAAAACAATACTACAATCTAGCCTGGTGTGCCAACACCCACGTAATCCGTGTTCCCTATTGGTCGAGAGGAGATGATGTCCCGCCTCCAGGCGTGCCTGAATGGGTCCGCACGACTGTCAATCTCCTGAGCAGCTCTATAATACACAGCCCGTTTCAAAGTAGGTTGAGGCAGAAGATAAACAAGTTGGAGGCCCACATGCCCGTGGCCTAGATAGCTATATTTAAAAGATATTTAAAGTAGAATCTCCCGCAAAACCAGAACACAGCACAAGATTATGCTTCTGCCCGTAACATTTGTTAGTAGTTAAGAAGAAGCACCAATTCAAACGTTTATCTGTCCTAGTCGGTTACTAACTTATACTATAAAGCGGGTTGTATAGACTAACATCCAAACTAATCGATCGACGAAAGAAATCGTTACTTAAGATATGTTCTCGGTGGAAACACAAGTCTGATTCGGGTGCATTATTTACCTTAAAGCACATGGAAATTTCTGGATGTTTCGTGCCTTTTCTCCAGCAGCCGTGGATGTGCTGTGTGTTGGGGGGCGTGTACCTACAGAGAGCTCAAACTGCCTGCCATAAAGTCCGCGTTAGACTCTGTGCTCACATGCTTCTCCAACCACAAACACAGTTATGTACAATTTAATAATGCTCTACTGGACATCTAAATGACACGTTAAAGGTCTGCAAGTGTAGTGCAAAAGGCGCAGTATGATTTTGATAGTTAAAAAGTACAACCAATCTTCTTATATAAGTGCAGCGTTTTGCAATCCTGACCCTACGCATAACCCCACTTCTACAAGTGAATTACCAATTAAATGTACAAAGACACGTTCAACAAAATCAGAGGGGCGTTATTTTTGGACAGGGTTAGCTTTGAGTGACATTTGACAGTGACCGAAAACGTATCACATTAAGCGTTAGCTGGAGTAACGTTAACACTTCCTGCACGAGCTCGACAAACTGCAACGCACACCGAGCGACACGTTAACCGTGTTAATATCCACCAAAAACTGTGTACTTTAATGCGGAACTAACGAGTCTTGCTTCCTTTTCACCCGCAGCTCACAGTCAGTCAGTATGGCCTCCGTCCGCCCCCTTCCTCATCCCAGCTGAAGCCCGATAACACAACAACAACCTGCCGTTAGCTTCAAAGCTAATCCTCCGCTGCGGCGAAAACAACGACACACTGCTCAGCAAAGTCCCCCCAAAACGGTCCAATGACGGGCTTACTCACTTTTAGGGCGCCCGCGCATTCGTCTCGCTTCGTGTTGGTTCCCCAGTTGGAGATAATAAGGACCCCTTTTCAATGGAGTCCACACGCTGTTACAGCTCTCTCGGGTTTGTTTTGTTTTTCTTCTTCCTGACGGGTTCCTGGAAAGCGCGTGACTGCCCGACCACGTGGTGCACCGCTCGGCCAATAGGAGCCGAGGCTGGGTGACAATGTTTGTGCAACATTTCTTTCAAAATACTGATTTACTGTAATATTGTAGTAGTAGTAGTCTCACCTTTAATCGATATGGACTTTATACGTTGTCAGGGACAGCGACAGGGTTTTAGTCAACTTCTGCTTCAGAAAATTTAGACCAAACACCATAAAAAAAGTCTCAAAAACTTGCATTTGTCATATTTTATTGCGTTTGCTATTTCAGTTATGTTTTCTGTACATTTTATTTCCCTACATGAAGGCATAAATGCCTTTACAACGCCTTTTCAATTCAGTTTGATTAAAAAAACTTCACATTATTATAGACAATTATCTTGAGGGTTTGGGGCTCACATACAACAAAAAACATCCACCCAGTAATAATTAGTCATTTAGCTGACTGTTTTATCCAGAGCAACCTGCAGTTACTATATATGTCAGAGGTTGCACACCTCTGGAGTAACTAGGGGTTAAGTGTCTTGCTCAGGGACACATTGGTGAATATTGCGGTTGGAATCAAACACTCACCACTCACCAGAGGCATGTGTCTTATCCACTGCACCATCACCACCCCAACAAAAGACTCAGATAAAAGTATGTTAAAACTAAATTACAACACAACCAATTCCATAAATACATAAGCGCATGTGTGCAACTGCATTATAAAGTAGTGTCTATTTTCCTTGTTTAAATGGATGTTGCAGTGGGAATTAAATAATTTTTATAAGTTGGATTTTTAGCCAGAGGTACTCTGAAGCTGTGGCCTGATAGGAGCTGAAAGGATTGATAAATGGGGTGTGAAGGGTCCTCAGTGATGGAGTCTGCCTTTCTTTTAAAGGTAAAGGTCTGAAAGTTGGATTTCAGTAGTGCCTGTGGTTTTTGTTGCAGGTTTGAAGATTCTTGTGAGTTTTTTCTTGCTTTTCCATGTGAAGAAGTTGTTCCAAGATGCAATGTTAAAGTGAGAACTGATGCAATAAGTGACTGTTGCTAAAATGTCCCGTCTGACATAAATACAATTCAGGTGATGAAATATAAAATAACTATTTGTTGATTTCACTTCAAACTCGTAAAGGTACCCTGTGGAGTTTTTTTATTTACTCAGGCACCTCGTTTTGATAAGGAAGAACAATTGATGGAATGAAGAAGTGGATATCTCTGGTTATGCTGCATCGCTTTTGATCCTTTTTTTACTGTCCATCAAGAGTCTGACAATGTTATAGGAGTGTAATATAAATCTGTGGAGTACACTCATTTAATTCATTACAGGCGTGTCAGTGTCACATTCAGCCTAATTGTGAAGCTGTCAAGTACACACACTTATTTTCTGAATGAGAAAATGTTATAATCCAATCTCCTACCTGTAGCCTGAACTGAACCTGTTTCCCTAAGACAAAATGACAATTACAAGGTTACAAGGTAGATTTATTTGTCATTTCACTACACAGGGTTGTATAATGACATGAAGTTTGTAGTTTCTTTTATCCATCTCACATAGAGCAAAGCTTACATACAAAAATGATGCAATTATATGCAGAAATCAAACTGTATTTACATGATGAGGGCTGAGGATGAGTCTCACAGCTTTAGGGAAGAAGCTGCTCTGGAGTCTGGTGGTACGACAGCAGATACTTCTCTATCTATTGCCACACAGCAAAAATAACTAAATTTTAACCTAAACTAAATCTCTAAACCTAACCCAGACCCAGTGACCTGGAATTCATTTGGTCAAATAGATTACCAAAAAACACATCCTCACTTAAATTTTTCTTTTTTTGTAACTTTGCAAGCAGCACACATACAACAACCCCAAAGGATGCACTCACTTCACTCACATCAATTACTATTAACTATTTTTCTTTCTTCCCCTTTTTTTTATTACTTATTTGTGATTAATTGCTGTCTTTTATTTCCTTTGTAATTCTTATTGTACGGTGTAATTATAATAACAATGGTTATGTAGAATGAATGTAGCAATAACAATCAATCAAATTTGGAATGCTTTTTTGTTATGTTCTATTATATCATTATTATTATTGGAATATTATACATGTATTTTAGTGTCTGCCAGTTTTTCTGCATGTCCCATCTTATCCCGCCCTTTCCTCCTTTCCCCCATACACATGCAATAAATCACATAAACAAATGTCAAAAGATTAAACAGACTTCCCCAAACATATGGTTATTACATTAATTTAAATCACAGTAACTGATGTTACATGATGCTACTGAGCATGTTAGTACTGCTTAAATGATTTTGACTATACTTTCATCCTTGATTTCTTTGTTTTATGTATGTATCATGTTGTGTGGTCATTTTTCAGTGTTTTGTTTTTCCCCCGGTATAACAATGAAGATTATTAATCCATAATATGTCACATTTTCTCCCACCGGTGGGAAAACTCTGAAAAGTAAATGCAACTGCCTGATTCCCATAAACTGGCTAACGTAATAAAAGCCTCCATTGAGCTCTGTACAAAAGAGATTCTCTAGGGGGGTGTATAAGCAGCTGTTCCAGGCAGCCCCCGCCCGCCCTTCACTGGAAAGAGAAACTATGACTCTAGTCATGACTATTGCCAAGTTTGACAAAGACAACAAATAAATTGAATTCATTCATTGAAAACAATTGTTGTGATCTTAGTTGAGGCTTTTAGAGGAATAAAGTTAAGAGAGACAGATGCGGAAACATCATTGTTCTCTCTGTACCACTATTACTCAGCAGAAATACATGAAAGAGTCTGAAAGCTACCTTGTTTTGGGCCAGACAGTCACAGCAGAGCCAGTGAACATCACAAGATACAGGGGAACTTTCAGAGTGACCTACCACCTCCATCCTGTAGCTGACAGAGAGCCAGAAGCTGGATCGTCCTCTAAAACTTTCATCAGATGGCAAGACACTCCAAACATTGTTTTTATCCTTCTTTAAACTAGTGGAAAGCTCAAAAATGCCCAAAATACACATTTAGATGTTTATTTTAGTATGCTTTGTCTATTTGCGTCTGTAGATTGCTCCTAAATTCACCAAAACTGCATGTTTACTTGTACTACAAAAAATAATTGTCTTAAAGTAAGTAATCAACTGGGGGAGTTTCACGGTGATAGCTATTTGGGCAGTTTTTACCCTGTTCACCAAAAAAAAAAGTTTTCTCTCTACTTCAGCAGCACTTACATACACCATCCTTTCCAGTTTTATTACTATCTATATTCTGAAGGTTTTCACATAGGGGTTTATTCATATATGATTCATTACCTGATCTGTATAACGTTTTATTCCTAAAAAACATGATGAAAATGGATTTTTGTTTAAGGCTGTTGACAGTATAGAACCTGGCTTCATCCAATGATGAGATTTCTGTTCTGGAAATGTATGCAAATGTGCACATATTTAATTAGACAAGGCCTTATTTGCATATTTGAAAAAAAATATTTTTCCCTATTCACATTTATTATCTGTGGAGGGCAGTGTCTTGTGCAGACTCTAGGGTCAGTTGAAGCTGGCAGCAGCAGGAACACAGCAGCACTGCAGGCTTCCACGGCATTTATCTAACTGTCTGTGAGCAGATCACACACATCAAACGGCCTGCAGGATGGGACAAGGATCAGACAGAAGAGATGGGATGAGTTATGGAGTGTGTGTGTGTTAGTATGTATGAGTTCTGGGGAATTTGTGAGCTTCTAGTGAAACGAGACTTCTAGTGAAGTCAGTGTACCCTCCTTGGCATCTTGTGTTTTTCCATTCAACAGTATGCTCTAGAGTCTAGCTTCATCCTGGTTTATGTTGCAGACTTTCCTTGCATTCATTTTTGTCTTTGTTGCAATTTGTTAAACTGTCTTTACCCCAAATGCACAAGCCTGACAAATCATTGTATCAATTTAACGTATAAAAGTTATATAAATACAAAGCACACAGAAACCCATATTACAAAAAAATAGTCATTGTTTTAGTGATAATCACTAAAAAATTACTATAGGACAGTTCAATGTTGAAATGTATTGTTCCACATTTTATATACACAAATATAGCAGAAAGATTTACAAAAGTAAACTGACACAGTCTGTTTACATGTAAATTATGTAATCCCAACTAACCTTAGTGCTTTTATTCACTGAATGTCTGAATGTATACCTATAAATCAATATAATTATTACTAATTCAAAGTTTTAAAAATGTATTTTTTTAAATGTCGTACAGACTAAGATACTGTGTGAAGGCCCCACATTTGGGTGTGCGGTTTGAAAGTATCAAATACTGATACAAAGTATTAATACATGTCTCAATTGGATCTTTACCAAAAAAACAGATCCACCACATGTTAGACCACATCCTGGACACGCTCTTGTTAGTGCTGCAATATTTGCATCTCTGCTGCTGTTGTGTGCATGGGTTCTTCGTTCACAGAATTCACATCACAAACATTTGTTATTTTACCGTTAAAAACTATTGACTTACTTGATCTAAAACTTGTGTTTAAACATGCATTTGATTAAGCCATTTAACAGAGAGTAGTAAAAAGAAATGCCGCATGTTTGGTTTATTATTGGGTGGCAATTAAAACACACTCAGAACTAGCCTGTTAATAATACATTCACCTCATAAATCATGACATGTTTAATTCAAAACCAGTGCTGAGAAAGTACTTCTGAGAAAATGATAACTTAAAGGCACCTTCTAGTGATTTAGTTCTGCACTTCTATAGTGATGGGGGACTTCCGAAAGACCGATTAAAAACAGAAAAGGTCAAAATAAGAGACATCCTAATGTTTTACTTCAAAACACTCAATCCTACATTTCCCACAATGCAACTCATAAGCGTCTCATAATTGACCCTCTGTCTAGTAAATGCCCAAATCTATGAGCTCCATGAAGACAGTTTTCTGTTACAAACCCAAATAATAGCACAAGAACATGGAAATTAGATTTTGGCTTTTGAGTAAAAGCATAAAATAGATGTAACAAAATAATCTAAAATAAACTTTATAGCATATCTCTGACTTCACTCAGCAAATGGAGCTGGCGCTGATGTGATCCTGTCACCTAAATGCGATACTTTGGTCACGTGACAACAGGCAAACCTCGTCTTGTTTCAAGGACCACCGCCTTCGGTTCCATTCACTGAATGAAGGCCGTGAGACGTGGTTGAAAGCTCTGAAAGCGAGTAAATGCGTCTTTGATTCATATCATCACGGTTATTTTCTCAGACTTAGGGTTGCCTCCTCCAGAGCAACAGACAACATTATACAACCACTTTCACTGGGAGCCCCTTTAAAATGTTTCTTTTTTATGTTACTTCAAGACGGTTTAAAAGCGACTTAAACAAAATGAAGTGTCCATAATCTTGTTTCAGCAATAGTTTATCAGGTTATCTGGCTAACTTTGTTGAACTGATGTCAGAAGACTGGGTTTTCACTCAGATAGGTCACTAAACCAGCCTCTCCAAAGTTTAATTTAATTATTAATTTACAGTGAGAATGTTTGCTAGATGAGATTAACATGCTTTTCAGAAATACACAATTTAGTACCTTAAATATGATTTCTGCTGACAGACTTACTTGACTTTTTGTTTGGATTCAAGTAAAAAGAGCACACATGATCCATGTTGCACCAAATTGCATCATGTTTGAGTCTTGCCAAACTGTGTTTTGAATTTTCAGCAGTGTAATTATGTTCTTGCTGCCAGGAAGCCAAGGAGGCGTAAACACAGGGCCCATTATACACGACATCATAGTAAACAGACGAGAGGACACACTTTGTTGTAGGCCTCTAGAATGGTTTTCCTTGAAAGTTTTACATCCTTGATTATGAATAAAGTATCATCCTGGAATTGCTCTTTTTCAAAACTTTAAGGAGGTCCTCTGGAAATACATAATATATTTTATAGCATTTATATTATTGGATTATAAAACAATCTCTCTACAGTGCAGTAAAAGCAGAAATCTGCCTTAAATCTTAGAAGGTGGGTGCCCCATGGTACGGTGAACTTAATTTTGTGTCTTCTACATGGCATAGTTTGTCATCTAGAGGACAGTAATATGACCTCAGGTGATTTTCTTAAGATATGGCTCCTTCTTCAGGTTCAGGACATAAAGACTTCAAATGACTCAACACCAGCAACATCAAAAATTCTCAGATGGTTTCATTTAAATAACTGCTTGAGGTCCAAAGAACTAGCTCCTTGACCAGCCACAACAGTAAAATGCAGCATATTGATGCATCAGTATTATGAATTCAATAGTGTCATACATGTCACCGAGAAAGCAGAACGGGTACTCTTACTTGATCATTTAAGTACATTTTCCTGATAATATTTCTGTACTATTGCTAGCAGGATTTCACTTGAAGGACTTTAAGTTGTAGTGGTGTATTTTTACATTGTTGTATGGGTATTTTTGTTAAGGATCTAAGTACTGCCCAACACTTGACATAAGTGTGCTATATCAGCGATAATCTTTTTGAGACTACGCTTCATCCTGCACTGTTACTCGCAATTTAACTTACTTTTTTTTCACCCCACAGACCTTTCAACTGCATCTCAAAGTCTTCATTGGTAGATTGTGTTTGCTCATTGTCTGTTTAGCAGATTACATCCACAGCAAACACCATCTGATGATGAAGACCGTGCGATACAGCTGAGCAGAGACAAAAAAAGCTAGTATGTGAACCTAGAATGACGCTCACTATGTGTGTACTTGTACTGTGTATTTGTTTTACAGCATATCATAAAAAGAACTATTGCTACAAAGATTTGACTGTTCTATGTACAAAAGCTGCTGCTGAGTGAAAAGCTAGAATAAAAAATAAAATAAAAAAAGCCGGCTGTTCAGGGCCTACGTTGAGACAAGCAGCCTTCATTCCAGCTCCACCACCATCCGGACACAATCATGGGGTTTGAAACAATTTCATCAGATTAAAGGGTTGTTTTCTCATCACATGACACAATCACATTATCCATCAACCAAAGCCCTTTGGAGTCACAAGGTTTCCAGTTGACAAAGTTTTTCTGAACCCAGAGGTCCACTGTTATATAATTAGAAAGGAATAAAACAAGGCATTTCTCATAATCAACCGTTTCTTATCAGATCATCACACCATCTTTCCAGCACTTGCCATTTCTGGAAGTGAATGTCCGTCTTTCGAAGATTACAGTGCTTATTAAAAATGCAGGATCTGAACAAGGCTTAAGAGAAAACACGAAGAAAAGTGTCATCACCACCACCACCAGCAGCAACGCAGATATGTCCTCTGCTTTTTATTCGGCCCAGTGTGAGAGGTTGTTGGCTCCATTCCCCACCAACAAAAAAAAAAAAAATCTTTCTGCTGGATTATGCAGCAAAAGCAGCAGGAAGGAGAGATAATGAAATAGTCTGATGAAAGAGGCAATAGAGCACAGCACCAGTGGTCACTACCATGAGTCACTGAATAATGATTTCATTAATTTACAAATGAGATCTCCTCGGTGCAGTTCACACCAACAGCAAGTCCACTAACCGTCCTAAATGTATAGGCATCAGGACTGCAGTTGTTATGATTATATGACTAAGGCCTGGTTAAATTAGCCACTGCACTGATCTGTCAAATATATCACAGCTCTTTCCAAGTCTCCATAAGTGTCAAATAGTGACCATAGACTGGTACTCATATTAAGTGATCTTTCAAACCACCAGCAACTCTGTTAACAGTCCATTCACTTTCTACTGAGACAGATATTAGCTGGTTGTTGGGTTTTCCCCATTTCCTGGCAATGAAAAGCTGCCTGCAACAGATTTTTTTGGATGAAACTACTAATTAGCATTAGCAATCAATCCCCAACCAATACTGCAAAATGTCTCATATATCTGCAATGTCACTGGCACAGAGACCGAAGCAATCAGCAAAGTCAAACTGGCCTTTGGGCAATAATGCAGGACCAGTCTTTAGTGGCCGAAAAAAAAGAAATAAGTTTTAGACTTGATTTGACTTTGATACTTGTTCTGTTTTTTAGGATAATATCAGATTATAACATGTTTATCATTGATTCAGTGTATCAAAATACACTGAATATTTAGTACCTTAATTCAGACGTTTTGTGGCTTGAAATTCTGCAAGAGATAAACTTGCGGAATCACGCTTTGGCTTTCATAGTTCAGTCTTGATCCTGTGCATCAGATCTTTCTGGTCCACCATGTCCGTCTGTCTGTTCCAGCGGTGGTAAGCCAGGAGAGCAATGTTCTTGGCCGCCACTGAGCTCATCTCCATGGCGCTGCCGGCCAACTCAATGCCATTCAGGTAGTAAAGGTTGGGGTGGAGCTCCACGGGCGGCAGTCCCTGGCTGCTGCCGTAACAAGGGTAGGCCTGCCACTCTGTCACCTGCACTGAGTAGTATGACCTAAGATTCAGGGGTACAGTAAAGGAGGAAAGTTGTTATTGCTTTTAAACATTTCTCATAATGACAGGGCATCGTCATCAAGTGTTCATAGCATGCAATAATAATAATGTGCATGGCTGCTCTATACATGGAGCAGACTGAAAGATCTCAACAGCTGTTCCATGGATAGCAGTGAAATGTTGAACAGACAGATGGATTGCCATGACATTTTGCACATTTATGCCTCCCTTGGGATGAACTGTAACAACTGTTGACCCTTTAACAAAATGACTATATTTTGGTTAATGACCGTTTTGTGCTAATTACCAAATATTAGCATCTTAACACCTGTGAACATGGTTAATTACTTTTTTACATTAAATGATTACTTTCTAAAAATCAGCATTTTAGCATGTTGACATTGGCATTTAGCTCAAAGCAATGTCCTCACAGAGCAGCAGATCATTTTACTTCTTATCTAAAAAAAAAAAAAAAAAAAAAAAAAATCAGCAGACTGGATGTAGAGGAATTGTTTTAGTTGGGCAGTACTAAAGCTGAATCGATTGGTTTGTTAACTGATTGATTTGACAATTGACAAACGTTAATCTGCAACTATTTTGTAATTTTCTAAACAAAAACACAAAAAACTCACTAGCTCCAGCTAATAATCTCAGCAAAAAAAGAAACGTCCCTTTTTCAGGACACTTAATTCTGTAAACATCAAATAACTTCATTGTAAAGGTTGTAAACAATGTTTTTCATGCTTCTTCAATAAACCAAAAACAATCAATGAACACACACCTGTGGAACAGTCATTCAGACACTAATAGCGTATAGACGGTAGCGAATTAAGGTCACAGTTATAAAAACCTTCGCTGGACCAGACAGGACTGGCAAAAAGTGCTCTTGACTGACGCCGTTTTGGCTCAGCAGGGGTGATGGTCAGACTAATGCTGTACCCTTGAGGGCTAGGGCCACTCCTCCCCGAAATGTCCGGGAATTTGCATGTTCCTTGGAGGAAGAGTGGGATTACATCTCACAGCAAAAACTGGAAAATCTGGTGCAGTTAGTAAGGAGGAGATGCACTGCAGTACTTTATGCAGCCGAAGTTGAAAGTGAGAGGACCTTTTTTGCGGAGTTTATTTGTGAGTTTTTTGATCATATAAGTTATTTGAAAATCATTAGAGTTTGGACAGTTGGTCAAACAAAACAAACAATTTGAATAGGTCAACTTGGGCTTTTGGAAATTATGATGGACATTTTAAGTATTTCCTGGATCAAACAAATAATTGTCAAGAGATTCTTCAAATTCTGAAAACAATAGTTATAGCTGCACTAGTCAATCATTTTCAGAGCTTAGAAAAGCGAGCTTGTGACTGGGAGCACTTGCCCCTCCCTCGTTATCACCCTTCAGCAAGTCCCTTAACTCCAACTGCTACAATGGAGCTGCTCAGTGGCCGGCAGATCAGACTGTGGTTGTACTGGGCAGCTTCCCAGCCTGAATGTGTGAAACTATGCAAATGTGATCAGAGTATTCCTGCAACAGAGAGGCTTCCTCTCAGTGAAACTTCCCTCAAGAAATAAAAGGTAAGAAAATATCATGACTACTTAAAGAAATGGATGACCTGAAGAGTGTCTTGAGCTGAGTCTTGTCCAGAGGTTGCGGCGAGAACACTTTATAGACTCCGGCCTCTTGTGGCTGCTTACGGCGAAAGCCCGCAGAGATGTTGACGGGACAAACACTAGCCACGCTGTTGAAAAACACATCGGGAGCCTCAGTTGTCAAGACGCTGGCAAAGGGAAACAGGCGGGGGTCCGGGAAACCAAAGAAGGAAGTGTTGAGGTAACCGTGGACAATGGTTGCTACAGTGCTGTGATAGTCGCCAGGGAGCTGGTCAAGGGGAGGAGTGAAACCCTGGAACTGGACTCCAGACCCGACACTGGCCTGGAGCGGCGTCGCCAACACTACAATGTCATACACCTCTGATCCCGTCCCTTCTGCTGTGGTGAAGCTCAGCTGGTACTGTGGCGCCTCCCCTGTAGGGAAAACACACAAAATGAATATCAACAGCAAAGTACATGATTCAATTACAAATTCATCAGTTCACTGGCGTTTACTGGAATCTGGAAACATACAGCACGTTTTTCATGTCTCAAGATGTCAGTACTAACAGGCAAGTGTTGACACACAGGAATGACAAATATGCATTTCTGTGACAGACAAAGTTTTGGTGGAATGACATTCACCAAAAGGTCCCCAGGAAGAATTAAGAGGAATCACTTTTTTGAAATTGCAACATGTGAAATTGCGTACTAGAAATGTTCAGATATTCAGTTGTTATGAAAGTCAAATAATCATGGTCTTTCTTTACTTCACTACATGTGAGGCCTCAGTAGTGTCACTTTTTAGTATATATATTTTTTAGTGTATGTAGCATGTTCAGGTTGCGTGAAGCCCCAGGGTACAAATTGTTAAGTTCCCACTGTGGGCCATCTCTGAGGACTGCATTACTGTTACTTCATGAGGCACACAAACTAAAAAATCTTTATAAAACGAAATAAAAATTAAAATGAATTAGTCACTTGATGTGGTCCCATTCAGCCAACATCAGGGTTGAGTACCTGAGTAGACTGGTGAGATGGCGTTGACTTGTGCTTGCAGCACGTTAGCGTTAGCCATCTTCAGCAGGCCTGAACACACCAGCTTGTTGCCTCCTTCCACCGCCCACAGGTTGTTCTGGGCACCAGCTAAAGACACAGCACCTATAACACACACACATACATGCGCGCACGCACGCTTAGTCACAACAGACAGTACCAAGCGCTATACACCAATTATCAGCTGCCCACACACTTTCCTGTACTCTCACTCTCAAAGGCCACCCATCCTCTCACCTCGCTTTCCTCTATTCTATTCTCAACTTCCCACCCCTCCGTCTCCTGTATCTGTTCTTTTCCTTTCCTCTCTCTCGACCTACATCAGCAGGGACGTAGATGTTCAGCTCCATGGCCTCCCCTTCGTCCCTGTCTCTTTCCCTCTTCTACTGCTCATTTCTTCACACTCATCTGACCTACAAAGGCAGGGATGCTGACGTTCTGTCCATAGTTGACCCTCATGATGGGCGCGATGACCTCGTCGATGAAGCGCTGCGACACACCCAGCTCCAGCAGCGAATCCGAAAGCGGCCTTCGGGTCATGTTGATGAAGCCACTCCCCCCGAGAGAGTCCAACAGCTCCTCCACCGAGCTGAAGGCGTAGCCGTGGGCCTGGTACTTGTAGATCCTATATTATACATGCGCACACACACCAAATTGTTTATATAGTAGTCAATGAGTAGATAGATTTATAAATGGACATCCTATATGAATCTTTTCCCTCATTCCTATCTGAAAGTTGGAATTACCACAAACTTTTATCGTACGTGACAAAAAACAGACTGAGGGATAAACAGCTTCACTGTTGTTGAATTAAAGAGGAGGCAAGAAAGAAATTTATGCAGAGATAAATCATTTCCTGAGGGAGGAAATAGAGGCAGAGTGTGAGAGAGTCAAGATGACATCCCTGCAGCAAAGGTTTTGATTTGTCGGCGTGATGTGTGATTTTGCGCACCCACTGATATCTGAAACAGGACGGGCTGAACGTAAATATATACTCTCTTGTTTTATACTGTGTTATTTTGTTGCTGGAGGATGAAGAGAGCTGCATTTTCAGAGACCTACTTAGATCAGCTCCATGTCTTCTTCGTTATCAAGTGACACCAGAAACAGACAGGAGAAAATATGAAGCAGACCAGGCAGACCAGTCATGTACAGTTTTGAAGAGGTGCAGGCATACGTAAACTAAAGTGGGGTCCCTCCACACACCCTACAGACACATGTCAGACACCTACAACAACCGCTTCTGCACAGGAACATAAATCAGGGTACAGCTGCACCACAGTTACATCCTGTCCCAGCATGCCAAGCAGCTGCAATGACACTAATCAAACAGGGCATGAACATATCTGGCTCACCTCATGAATTTCTCCATAATTTCCTCTACCCACATCTGCAGGCGTATGAAGCTGATGCCATAGCGCCACCACAGGCGGAAGAGGTCCAGCAGGTACCAGTCTGTTTCCTCCAGAATCACCTCCTCGCCGTTAAACACCGCCGTCTTACCTGCAATGCTGCGACGATACTTTAAACCTTGAGGGGCGCACACACAATGACAGAGGACCAACGCACACCCACAGACAAACACACGGGGAGGAATTTAATATTGAGGACGTTTTGAATGATGTTGTTTCTAAAAGTAGTCAATTTAAAATGTGTCTGTCCATTTTTAGTCATGAAATCAAAAGGCGTAATGGACAGAAAATGTTCAAATAACAATAAGTCTACATGTGTATTGCATTGATTAACTTATTTTTCTTTGAAACTTCCTGGACATTAATATATACCTACAATGTAAGAACCTCAAAATTCCACCAGGAAACACATTTTTTTTAGCTTTTAACCCTGAACAGATGTTTGTAGGTTCCACTTTGAATCATCTCTATTGCCGTTTTGTTTTTGAAGCCCAGCTCTTATTTTAACTCACTTTCGCCTATTTAATATGGAACCATGCAGCCTTTCTGTTCAAAAATAATTAGAAAAATGACAGACAGAGACCTTCGCAGTCACATACACTTATTGTCCTCTTGGCCTTTTAAACCGCGTGTGTGTGCGTGAACCAACCGAGTTGTTTGACAAACTCCTGCATGTGGAGGTTGAGGGAGTGAATGATGGATCCTCCAGACTCGTAGTCGTTATGGTTGACGGTTACAGTGGCGAGACGGCCTCCGACGTCGCCCTTTTCAAACACATCCACCTGGACCTCCGGACCAAAGTGCTGCCGCAGGAAGTTAGCCGTGGCGCTGCCTCCTATCCCTGCCCCGACCACCGCTGAGAGAGGAGAACAGAGGATCAGAGCCAACGACAGACAGGAAAGAGTGAAATCAGAGTGTGGAAGTTAAATGTGTATTTTAAGATGCAGCATCTGGGTGTTTGTTGTGACACGGTCTCACTATAAACACGTATGGGTCTCGAACGGATAAAGGAATAAACAAATCATTATTGAGCAATTAAAAAGTAATAAAAGTTTCCTGTTATTTGGCAGCTGTTCGTGGTCAGTGGTCATAATACCTACAGCTGGACAAGAGGAATGTGGGTGAGAAACAATGGTGCCTTTGAAGGGAGCGTTAGGGCAACTTTGAAGTGGGAAGTAGGCAGAGCCGCTGTTCTGTGAGTATTTTTTACCACTGGAAATTTCCATTGCAGGGTTTATGTTTAACAGTACCCTTAATATTAGTCAATACAGAATCAAGGGAGCCTCCTCAATCAAGCTAACTTCACTGGTACAGGCAACAGACTGTGATGGGTTAAATTCATATTCTGCCATTTTTTGATTTTCGACTTTTACTTTACTAGTTAAAGTACTTGAAATTACAACTTATAATATTTAAGTACATTTCCTTTGCTTCGGCTTCTCAAACATGAGATTTGCTACTTCTATCTGTTGTGTATCATTGTGTAGTGAATATCTTGGACAAGATAATGAAAATCATTATTAGCTGCAGCCTTAGTCCCAAGTTCTATTGCACATGTAATTTTTAACCATACCTTGAAAACTGTACGGCCCTTTGGTTGCTTTAGGAGTTGGCCTGATTTTAAGTTGCTACACAAACAGTCTTCCATCTTAAATGATGGCGCACCAAAAAAAAAAAAAAAGCAGCAGCTCAAAGTAGTTGCCAAATTAAGGGTGAGAGGAAAGAGAAGGGGTTGGACTGTGCTGACTTTAAAAACACAATCCCTTTATTACAGCCTAGTAGGGTCAACTTAAAAGATAAAAATAAATAAATTACATCACATTCAACTTAAAAAATGTTAGCCACATGCCATCTGCAGATGTAACGTTTGCTAACCTATCAGCTAATTTAATGTCTGCTCATTGAACCAGGATGCAGCTAATGACCTGTATTATTATCTCTGCCAGACCAGCTTGTAACCCCCTGACTGCGGGCTAACGTTAGCTAAATTAAACGTTGGGCTGTGATGTTGTAACACGCTGCTTTTCTTGCCTATTTTAGACGGCGGAGCTCCGTCGACATGAGCGGACCCAGCCGGGTCTCCGACAGACTGCCAGGCTGACAGCACGACGACGAGCAACGGGAGCAGAGAGCCGCCCATAGCGGCAGCAGAGCAGAGATCACCGGGAGGAGAGGAGGCGAGCTGGTTAGCCGGAGCTAGCTAGGTTAGCGCCTCTCTTTCTATTTTCTTTACACGGACAGTTTTTGAGAACTAAGCAATTTACATGTCGGTTGACTAACGTTAAACCGATAAAGTAACGTTTTAAATTGGATTTGAGATACAGCATCAAAAGATGGCTTTTGATGATCACGATGATGCAGATCACTTTACCAATGAACGGTTGTTCACCTGCAACGTCACGTGATCTGAAAACTTGGACAGATACGTTCACGTGCTGTCGGAATAATCAGTAAGAAAAACACGACATTGTAATTTGTAATATGTGAGGTTGTTACCGTTCATTTCTGTCAATGTACAATTATTTTATTATATTAACACTGCTAACAAGTCGGGTAAGGCAGTATTTCAGTGGTTTTACGGAATGTAGCCTACTTGTGCAGCAGCAACAAATCTGGAACAAAATCAACAATCACAGAGCTGTGAAGAAGGTAGCAGAAGCACGAAAATAACAAATTAATAACAAGTCAATAACGTGGGGCAGGCTGCACGCTCCGCTGCTGAAACGCCTCTGAGATGCTTCCAGTGGACTTTGACGCCGGAATGAGGACGCATCAAAACCGTGGCGCAGCCCTAACGTGCCGTAGACGGATTCAGTAGATTCCCGGCGTCAGGAAATAGGACCATCAGAGGAAAACGCGAATGCAGCAATAATGAATGAGTCTACATACTTCAGGCATTGCTGTAATTCTCATTTTTATAAACGCAGCGTTTACGAAGCGTTGAAAGTAGTAATAGCCAAGTGTATTGTGCTCCACGGACCAAACCCCTCAATAAAAAAAAAAAACAGTGAGGGGTTAGATTACGGCTAGTTTTTCCATGACAAGTCCTACTGGATCAGAACATACAGTGTATGTGAAATGTTAATGTAGAATAAAAACTCCACAGGACGACATATTGAAAAACAGTGGAAGTTGTTTTTATTTTATTCAACAGAGAAAACCACTGAGCAGAAACTAACATTCACACTGAGCCGCTGAAACAATGACTGGCACAGTGGAGCAGTAAGGCTTAAGGACGCCTCAGACACATGCGCGCACACATACACACACGCTTGCTCGCTCATGCATGCACACACGCACCACACACAGACGCATTCTCACACACACTCAACTTCATTTACATCCTCTATCTTACACCTCTGTGGCTGCTCAGGCAGCAGCCTTATCACTATCCCTCTGATGTGGTCAGTCAGAGGTGAGGGGTCAATGGTCACCTTGAGATCAGGTAACCACTGTTTCCTGCTGTTGCCTTAAACGCAGGGCTATTTCAGGGCTAGGAGGCGACATAACACAGAGACCTTAACCGTTCATCTCTATGGTACATCTCTAAGCAACATGACCCCCCAGCAATAACACTGCGAGGCCAGCCGTGGGCCTGGAGGGCGGGGTTCAGGGGGTGTTGGGGGAGGTCATGCTCTGGCCAAAGGGAGGGCAAGGAGGAGAAGGGCACCGGCCGAGAAGATGATGCGCTTGGTCACTTGGTAGAGCGTCGGGTGGGCTCAGAGGCGGTGGGTGGAGGCGGTGGCCCACGGCGGTCTAGGTCTTCGATGTAGAACATGATGAGCTTCCTGCGCTCCTCTGGGACACACTCCAGAACAAGGTACCGCTTGTCGTTTTGAAGGATCTTCTCCACATCCTTCAGATGCTGCTCTGATTCCTGGATCAGCTTTCTCGACCTGGGGGAAGGGAGGATGTGACACAGGCAGATGGCACTATTATGAACAGTTTCCTCTCTGTGCACTAGAGCGTCTGGGAGAACAGCTGCTGTTCAGATTTTGGTTCATGTTTATTTATTACAAACTATTTTGTCAGACTTTCCTCTGCAACAAACCACTTTATAACTCAAATATTTTGAGGGGCCAGGGGTTAAAAAACATCTCTGTCTATAAAGGAGACAAGACGTGTGTCAAATCTTTTATCACCATCACATCCTGTGTCATCTACATGTTTGCAGCTTGTCTCAACTCAAACTCTACTTGCCCCAGAATTCTCCAATCATTTACCAAAGATAGTAAGCCTCAAAAAATAAATTATGGAAAAAAATCTCTCTCAATCTGTTTAATACTATAGACAATGAAGTGAAATTTTGTCTGAAGAAGTGGGAAAATAATAGACTGTGATAAGTGGAGATGCTTGTAGATACTTTTGTTGTTTAACAGGATCAAATATTTCAGGCTGCAATTGTATCAGATTATGTATACTGAATAGATGTGCAACAAAACAAAATGTAAAATTTATAATTGCTACATGTGCCACTTGTTTTGATTAAACCTTTCTGGTATGTGGAAGTGAGCGTACAGACCGGTATGTGATGAACTTTGTCTCCTTTAGCAGAGTTCTGAAGTCAGCTTTGGCTGTGATGTACTTGTCTTTAATGTAGTCTTCAAACTCCCGCTGTCTCTTCTGCAAACACAGATTAACATTACTTAAACAACATGGTGATGGCGTAGTGGATAAGACACATGCCTTTGGTGTGAGAGACCCGGGTTCGGATCCACCTGAGCAAGACACTTAACTACTAGTTGCTCCATATATATATATATAGCAATTGTAAGTCACTTTGGATAAAAGCGTCAGCTAAATGAATAAATGTAATGTAAATGTAACTTAAAACTAGTTAAATGGATGTGCATTTCACATGAAACCGTTACAGCATAATTAAACTCCACTATAATGCCTTTAGGACCGACATAAAAATATCAACCACCCCCTTCATCAATTCAGACCGTTTAGGCTTGAGATGAGATACTGAAAGAGAACAGTGACTGTATTGAGTTGGAAACTGATATAACTATAGCAAAGAAAGGTTAAGGACTTCTATCATTTTGACTATCAATACTTGTAAATTATTGTCAGAAATTGACTTATCTTTTTTATCATTTTAGAATTATACTGCAAAATAACATAAGCATCCTGCCTATGTTACTCATTAAAAGTCTTACTCTGTCACTGGAGGAGAACTTAATACAGCGAGGGTCCTCTTTGATAACCTTCTTCACCTCCTTCCATGTGGTTGTCAGAGTGATCTACAACGCAAACAAAAAAAATCTGTCAATAAGCTTATAAAATTAGTCAGGGATAAAAGGAGTATTGTTTTCCTTCTCACCACATTGGTTATATGTGCACACTTCAGAAAAAAGCAAATACAGACAAAATGAATAGCATATTGCAGATGACTGGCAACTTTTCCTGCTATTGGCACTGCTCACCATGCTGGTCTCATCAAGTAGCTGCCTGAAATGTTCTTTCTTCTTCTTGGCCAGTGCTTCTACGTGTTCGTTGAACAGCTTCTCCTTCTCCTCTCTCTCTAGCAGTGACGCCGACTCCCACCGATGGTCCTTCCGCAGGTTACGACGCGTGTCTGACCAATTTGCGTCTGAAGACCGTACCTGAGGAGAGAATAAACAGAACACTTTAAATTCAGAGGAAATATCATTTAATGCTCCCAGGGATCAGAGTTTCTGACAAAAAGTCAAACTATAATGGCACTGCTTATTCTTGGGTTCCTGCCAACATACTTACATTTCTGAAATGTTTAGAAAGTGCTCTAAAACATCCTATTCGATTATCCCTGCGGTCACAATTGTACCTGTAAAATCTGACTTGTTTCTGCTGGAGCTAAGCTACTATGCCTTATCCAAATAGCTTCGATCAGCTGTTACTTTCCCATTTTCTTATCAAATCTTGTGAAAAAGTGACTGGTGATGACACAAATAGATTAGGACTTAATGAAAATATGATACATTTGTTCACATTACAGCAAGTTTCATAGGAAAATAAAAACGCTGCAGAGCATCTCACCATATCAGACATGAGAGCTTTGAAATGCTGGATGGCCTCCTCCCTCTTGTGCTGCTCCCTCTCTCGGTCGATCTCTTTGGTCTGTTCTGATCGGGCCTTCTGCACCTCCCGCTCCCTCTCTCGGAGACTGGCCTCGATACGAGCCTGCCGCTCCAACTCTCGCTCCTTATCGATGTCCACGTTCTGTAGGATGACACACATGGTCAGTTTAATTTTGTTATACGACACAGTGCGGGCTGAGCCGTAAAGCAGGGTTAGTCAGTGACAGCAAAGTTATCGTACGGTTGGAATGATTCATACAATGATTCTTTTGAACTTTAATGTAAATAAATCACAAGAACCACACAAACGGTTTATTTATACTAGTGAAATTATTTCTTAAGTAAAGCGTAATGTAAATCCAACATTTGTGTAATTTGTTTCAGTTACATATTCTCACTCTCCCCGGTCAGGCTCTTGAACACGGTTGACAGTTAGTAAAATTCTGGCCGTCTTTTTGAACTCATCTGTGACACCGGAAATTCTTGGCCGTTTGACAGATGATTTGATCCATTTCCGCAGTCGACACCGGGAGATGATCTGACCGGTTTTATTTATTGCCTCTATGGCAATAAAACACGTTACACAAGCCATCAAAAACTCCCTGAGGTTGAACTTAACTTCATCAACACTTTTAGGGACAAACTATAAATGGACTGGAAACTCGTTGGCCTAGCAACAGTAAGGCTACAAACGAACCATAACGCAACACCGTCTGGATGAGGCAGTCTTTCCATTCAAAAAGAATATCTGAGGTTGTTAAAAATATGTTGTCATCTAGTCTTTGAATATAATACAACTTCCAGTCTTTCAAATGTAATTTCCAGGAAAGATATTTTCTCATATTCTGTAGTTTTTAGAATGCTGTCTATGCAGCCCCACATTTTGTCCATACTGTCCGCATGTGCTCACAATCCATAGACACTTAAAAAGATAGGAAATAGCAATAAAATGATCAAATTAGTAATCAATTCATCTATTAGTTGCACCATTCCCAATTTATACCCACACGCGTACAAAAGTAAAAAGCAATGTTTACGTCAACCCTGAAAATAACATCACAGCGGCGCTCTTGCAGATCAGAACTGCTCCCACCTTGGCTTGTTTTTCCATGTACTGTTTGAAAAGTTCTTCTCTGAGTGCGGAGCTCTCCACAGCCTTGTAACGTGGGTCCGTCTCTAGCCTCTCTTTCACTTTGCTCCACCGCTGGCTTCCCTCTATGTGCTGCTCACTTAGGAGGTCAAAGAAGTCAAGCTTCACCTGGGAGCAAACACACATCAAAACAATTTAGAAATTTGTCCAAAAACCAAGGGGAGCAGGACCCCGGCAGATGGTAGAGCC